CTGGTGGCGAGGATCCACACGACTCTGAACAAGGAGGGTACAAGATCTCAGACACAGAACACTTCCCCCGGGAAACCGACACGGACGAGGATATGGACCTCGACGGCGAGTACCACGACAGCCCGACCGGCGGGTCTGAGTACGATTACGAACTAGACATGTTTCGCATCGAGCCCTGTAGGGAGCGAATCGAGCCCCTGCTTGCGGCATTTGCGAAGTCTCTGACACGCGACAATATGCCGAGCCTCGAGGACGCTGAGATTTTCACGCACCTGTGGTGGCAGCCTTCAGACGATAGAGAAGTGGAGGAAAGTCGGCTGCCAATGGATAACGGCCACAGATGGGGTGTCAAGTTCATTGCTGGGCGTGGTGATAACAAGCAGAAGGACGGCGATGCTGTTGCTGCGGCACCCACTCCAATCGTGCAGTGGCAGGTTGGCGACTGGAGGCCCAGCGAGGAGGTCATGAGTTTATTCGAAAACCTAGGACGACAGGAGTGGCTCGATCTCGAGTGGAATAGGTATAGATGTACGGCAGGGTTCGACTTGCTAGGAAACTCTCAGTCTTCACCCATATAGTTGGGCAGACAACCAGAATCCTTTGTTGGAAATCTCGAGAACAAGTAGCCTGATATCTTTTTTTTTAGAAATCCTTGTTGTTGTGATAGCACACTGTGACACACACTTCCACGGACTTTGGCCACTACCAGCTTATCATAGAGTACCCGTGGAGCCTCCGCTTGCTTTCTCGTAGGCCCTCCACCATAATCCCATATTCGCCGCGACTAACAGGTCCATCATCTTCAGGCCCTCATCTTCCAGGATGATCTTGCCCAACTTTGCTTGCTTGCCACCGAAACCACCACCCGCGAACTCCTGGCCTAGAGAAAGATCCAAACGGTCCAACGAGTTTCTAGCATCTTCGGTTTCTTCATCACGGCTGAGTGACAAAGACGAGTTATTGCGACTGTGACGCCCTCGACGAAAGAACGACGAGCGTTTTGAAGATTCCTCACCTCGAGGCGTAGTAGCTTTCGAACTACTCGGAAGGTTGAATCTTACTTCACTAACAGTCATGGCTGTGGGTGGAGCTCCTTGAAGTCCCGGGACGACATGTCGACACTGTTACAGCAGTCAGCATCATCTATGGCGCATCGCGTTGGTATAACTAGAATCACCTTTAACGATCCTCCACCTATCCCTGTGACAAACTCGCATCGGCCGTTCCACGGACTTGTAAAGACGTAACCACGGAAACTCGTTTGTCTGTCAGAGACTTGAATGCTACTGTACGTCTGGTCTTCCCGTGTCACGAATGGGGGAGTGGGAGCAGCCCGCACATCTGTCGATGCAGAGTTGGTCTGCGCATAATGATTACCTCTAGAATCAGGACGCCCGTTGTTGTAATCATGAGAGTTGAGTTTTCTGTGGCCAAAGCCACCTGTATGCTGTGACCCTTCCATCCAGATTCGTCGGCGGAACACGTTCTCATTCGCTGACGGGTGACTCCCTGCTTGGAATGATTGGATAGATGTGCCACTATCCCGACTTGTCAGGAGAGGCTTGCCAGTTGTGTCGGAATGAAGAAACTTGGAGTAACCTGGATTGAATACGTCGATGTACATTGGTGCTCCGATCTTTTTCTTGTTGCTAGGATCACTCGATGTTGGGGAAGAAACATCTAGAACAGGCGGATCTTCAATGCGAGCAACGTTCCATTGCGCACCAGACGCAGGATCACGCCGAATTAGGGTGAGAGACGCACTGGAACGCGACGGGTTCTCTGATCGTCTGCGCGGTGAAGGTATCGGCTTTCGATTTTCTTGGTTATGCTGGCTGGAATCGAATGACCGTCGGGGGCTGTCGCTGAATTCTGGAGCGAGCATCGCAGACCTTCGCGCATAATTTCCCGCATCGATGTTCTGGTTGTTTGAATACTTGTTTATGGATGCGAGAGTGCTAGGAACAGGTTTTCGGACAGGAGCTGTAGTTATGCCAGGCACCGCTTTCCTGGGCACGATAGGTGTAGAGACAGAGTTGAAAGAATCTTGACTCTGCTGTGTATACTCTGAATCCTGAGATTCAGGAGGGTTGACAAGATAGGCATCTTCTGGTTGCTCAACGTGGACGAAATAGAGTGAGCTCTGTATGTCTTCTGCGGTTACCACCTTTTCCCGTGGCTTCATCGGAGATAAGAAGACATCTGAAGCACGTTAGGCCTACATCAGAGGAAGACATTTTAACAGCCGTACCTCTGCTGCCAGGAACACGGGCGATATACAGTACTAGTGGCTCATGCCTCTCATGGGTAGGATTCCTTGGATAAGCTGGTGGGTTGGAAGCAAGAGCGGTAAGCGACGAGAGAGATCGGGCTTCAATAATCGGCGTAGCCATTAGAGCGAAAGACAATGGCAGTATTGTTAGCCAGACAGTGCCGAGGTGGATGTTTATTAGGAGATGACCAGTGGTCTACCGGGCGTTGCCTAGGATATATTAAAGGCAAGCAATGACGAGGTTGTGCCTGTGTTCGGGTGGCTGTGCGGACGCGTCTCCACCGACTATTGATGTACAGCAAACAGATGGTCTTGGCCTATCGTCGTTGAGCGCGAGAGACAGGCGGATCTGACAGGCGCGCATCATCAACGGACTCGCGGCGCTTTACGGGCAGACGAGGCTGATGCTGGTGAAGGAGCCTGGAGCACGCGAGCCTGCTTCGAGTCAAGGCTGAGCGGGCGGTGGCTGGGGCAGCGGTGATTGATTGGTGCAGCAACCAAGGGTCCTAGCGCTGAAAGTCTGCGAACATTTGAAATCTTGGCCTTTGACCTCGATTTTCGCGACCCGCACACGACACGCTCGCCCCGCCAACTCTACGCCCTGGACCTTTCGGAACAAGGACAGACTATACTACCAAGAGTACCCAGTGTCTGTTTTATGCGCAATGGGCGACAATCTCGAGGTATGCATCGCGGAACGACTGCTGCCGGTCGTTCTCGCCGCTAACTGAGAGCTGCAGGAGCGTTTGAAGAGCCATGCCCGGGCTTTCGAAGGCCTCATGTCTCTGATACCCGCCAAAGACTACTACGGGAAGGATGAGAGTATCACTAGCGTATGCACCTCTTCTCTTATGGGCCTCCGCTTTATGCTGACATAATGTCTGCAGACGCAATGGCAAAAGAAAGGGAAGAAGCAGACCCTCGAGGAACGACAAGCAGCCAAGCGAGCGAAGCTGGATCCTGCATCACACAAGAGCGCCAAAGACGTCATGGACGAGAACGCGCTGAAGCGGAAGCGCGAATTGGAGGGTGAGGAAATATCTGAGCCTGAGTCGTCGGACCTCGACATGGACATCACAAAGGAGAAGCCTCTTGAGGGAATCAAGAGCAAGGCAAAGAAGCAGAAGACGCAGCCCGCCGAGCCAGTAGTCGAGGAAAATGAAGAAGCTGCTGAGACACGGCCTTTATCAAAAGCCGAGGCTAAGGCTGCCGCGAAAGCAGAGAAGCGAAGAGAGAAGAGGAAGGAGAAGCAGGAGAAGAACAAGAAAAAGGAGGAGGCCAAGAAGTCGCAGCAGACGTCGTTCCAAGATCTCGCCGCCGCCAAGCAACCTGAAGAGGACGAAGTCGAAGACGACGACGAATCTGCAGACGAACACGAACACCCAGACGAACGCATAGAAGCTTTGGACGTGAGCGGTCTCGTCGAAGAGGGTCAGTCTACCGCTCCCTCCACTACTGCCAATTCCAACTCCTCTACAGCCTCGGTCGCGTCAGCCGCTTCATCAAACTCTTCGTTACCTCAGTCTGGCGAAGAAGCACCACAGAAGAAAGCTAAGAAGCCGTACACGATCGACCCGCAAAAGCATGAAGATTTCCGCGCTCGATTAAACGCAAAGCTAGAGGCCATGCGTGCGGCGCGAAAGGCCGACGGTCCGGATGGACGTCCTGCACGGAATCGAGCAGAGCTAATCGAGGCACGACGGAAAAAAGAGGCCGAGAAGAAAGCTGCCAAGAAAGCCCTTCGTCAGGATGCGAAGGAAGACGAGGCTCGTCAACAAGCAGAGGAGCAGCTCGCACGGATAAGAGGCGGTTCGGGCTCACCTTCCATATTCCCAGCGAGGTCGCCGGAGCACGAGCGCAATTTCAACTTTGGCAAGATTGCATGGGATGGCGCACAGCTTGAGGGAAATCTTTCCGGATTCCTCGAATCCAAGAAGAAGAAGGGCAAGTCAGACGCGAAGACTGCATTAGAGGCTGCGCAGAAGAAGCAGGCTCGTCTTAACGCCTTTGATGAGAACAAGCGCAAAGACATCCAAGAGAAGGATTTGTGGCTCGCCGCTAAGAAAAGGGCACAGGGTGAGAAGGTGTTCGACGACGTCAACCTTCTAAAGAAGAGTCTCAAGCGCCAGCAAAAACAGAAAGACAAGAGCAAGCAAGAGTGGAAGGAGAGGTTGACCAATGTCGACCAAGGAAAGGCAGCGAGGCAAAAGAAGCGAGAGGAGAACTTGAAGAAGCGCAAGGAGGACAAGGGTCAAAAGGGTAAAAAGAAGGTTAAGAAGCCCGGCAAGAAGGTCACGAAGCGACCGGGCTTTGAGGGTACTTTCAAGGGGAAATGATTATGAGGCTGGGTGGAATGACGGTACATAAAAGGAAAAGGAGGTAGCATGTGCACTATTGGAAGGCATTTGGCGTTTGATACCATATCATGGCAGGCATCGTATATGAGCGTTAGGAGTATCAGGGTCTTGAATATTGCGATGTCTTTTCCTCGATTGTATTAGTTCAAATGTCAGTGCTGTCTCGCAAAACAATAGGAATGCATCCAATCGGGCCCTTGATCGCAGCACACCCAATGTCCACATGTATGTTCTCAATAATTTGAGTATCGCCCACAGTTGTTGAAATGGTCCCTTCTTGTACTGATGCATTGACAAATGAAACCCGACTGGCTGTGTCAGGCGGAACCGCTCCTCCTATATATACAGTAAACTCGCACCACTCCTCTACATTATCTGTAAGGCGCATCCGCACGAGCAGCAGCGGCGATCTCAGGCTCCCACTTGTCTCCGTTTGCTAGCAGCTTCTCCTTGTTGTAAAGCAACTCCTCTCGTGTCTCGGTGGCATACTCAGCATTGGGTCCTATATCATGTTAACACATACTTTGGAGCTCACGGATGACGCGGACATACCCTCAACAATGGCGTCGACTGGGCAGCTCTCCTGGCAGAGACCGCAGTAGATGCACTTGGTCATGTCAATGTCATAACGTGTGGTCCTCCTGCTACCGTCCATACGCTCCTCAGCCTCGATTGTGATGGCCTGCGCAGGGCAGATGGCTTCGCACAGCTTGCAAGCAATGCAACGCTCCTCACCCGTGGGGTACCGTCGCAGAGCGTGCTCGCCTCGGAAGCGGGGTGAGATGGGGCCCTTTTCGAATGGGTAGAAGATGGTGTATCTTCAGAAACGTCAGATCGGGTATTCTGGATGTCGAGCATGCTACCAGCCTGCGCATTGAGGTACTTACGGTGGTCGGAAAAACTGCTCCAGCGACACGTACATGCCACGGAACATCTCCATAAGCAAGAAGTACTTGCCGGCGCGGTCCAATGCACCTTCTCCTTCATCCCATCGCTTCGGCTTTGGTAACCGGAAGCCTGGTGGTGGGGGTCCTGCTGGAGTGGCGGCTCGGGATAGAGTGGTAGAGAAGAAGGCGACGGTGGCGGGCGAGGGGAGGCGTCCAGACGCGAACTGCGGTGACCGGAGCAGCGTGGCTGCTGGGCGGCTGCGCGCCAACATTGTCAATGGCTTTGCGCTGGCCATTGTGAGCGTGGTGGAGTCGCTGGCGGGTTGGGGGGTTGCTGGCGGATATGGAGGTTGTCGTCAAGCTCGAAACTTGAGGTTGTCGCTTGTAACGCGGAAGCTGCGATTGGCCGAGAAGTCCAATGACGGCAACAACGGTGGGAGGCAACTCCGGGGTCAGAGATTTGTACCTAGTGATCTTGGAGGGTCTGTGAATGATCTTCAAGTCTGACTTGGTCTTGTATACGAGTTGTTGTGATTATTAGAGGTGCGTCTGTCTGCTCGTACTGAAATGCTTCCTGACGGCTGACTAACGTAATGTAACTTTAGTCTGAAGTTCTAGTCGAGCATCAACATCACCACCACCACCACCGACCCTGCTACCTCGCACGACACCCTCGCAACCCGTCACAATGTTCCGAACAGCACTTCTCAGGTCCGCCCGGTCCGCTGTCCGCGCTGCCCCACGATGCCAGGCCGCAATGGCTCGCCCCGTTGCGCGAAGCTCTTTCGTTCAGCCAAAGCAAATGAACCCCTCCGTATACTTCCAGGCTGTACGATGCTACGCCGCGAGCGCTGGTCTGTCAAAAGATGAGGTCACTGGCAGGATAATGGACCTTTTGAAGAACTTCGACAAGGTAACGACTATGCGACTAGATTTTTAGGCAGTGGCTAACACAGAAGCAGGTCACCGATGCCTCCAAGGTAGCTACCATACGTGTGTGAGGGCTCGGAAACAAATACTTACAGTTTGCAGTTGAACGGCGAATCGCACTTCCACAACGACCTCGGTCTCGACAGTCTGGATACCGTAGAAGTAGTCATGGCGATTGAGGAGGTTAGTTGGCCTGCACGCGATACACGAAAGGCACACATCTGACAATTTGGCAGGAGTTCAGCATTGAAATCCCCGACAAGGAGGCCGATGCCATCCACAGCGGTATGTTCTGAAGCGCAGCGTCAGATTTATACATACTGATGATATCACAGTCAAGCAAGCAGTGGATTACATCATGGCTCAGCCCGATGGTAAGTCTCAAGTTGCAAAACGCAAGGTTACTTGATACTAATCAAATTGCAGCTCACTAAATTATATTGAGATCCGCGCTGGGTGAGAGATGATGGATGTGGAATTGGTAGTCGGTCCTACCGGCATCGCTATATATATGCCTCCTTGTAAAACAGTCGCCTGGGTCGGCACCGTGTACTTCTGATAGAATTGACGCTATCCACCTCCCATTGCTCTGGCTATTGTGTTGTTGGACGCCTGTTTACTTGATTGCTGAGGCGTGCGTAACTAATCTTGGCACATCCGAGACCGAGCCCTGTCCGCTGATAGATGTGGCACGAGAATCAACCCCCAACTCGAAACCTGCACACGCGCGTTACGATACCCCCTTTATCGCTACATTGCCGTGATCCGCCACGCTCTCTTACATCGCCTTCACCGAAAGTCCCACATAGTCCGACACGGCGTATGCGCAGCCCAAGCGCCCTCATCCCTGCGCCCGTTGAGGAGCATCACCCATAATTTCAACAAACACTCCCCACCCGTTCCACAACCACACCTGATGGCTTCTAGCTCTGGTCTGACGCGCCGGAGAGGAGGCGGCGGCGCTGCCGGCAACGGCGAGGACGAGGGCAGCCGGGTCAGCTCGCCAGCACCCAAGCGCAACGACGACCGCACCCCCGAAACCTCCTACGAAAGCTCCGAGAACGGCCACAAGATTGCATTCGATCCCCGCGATATCAGCGAAAATGCAGAGAGGAGCAAACAGCCAAAGCTGACACTCATGGAGGAGATTATCCTTATGGGACTGAAAGACAAACAGGTGTGTACACCGCAGGCCGCGGGCGGGCTAGGGGCAGCAGGCTGATGAGTGAGAATAGGGATACCTGTCGTTCTGGAACGACAACATCTCCTATGCGCTACGAGGATGCATTGTCATAGAACTGGCCTTCAGAGGCCGTGTGAGCATGCAGAAGGACTCGAATCGACGCCGCTTCCCCCTCGCAGACAGGGTCATCGAAGTTATTGATGACACGTTGACTGGAGAGGTCCTACTGGACGAGGCCCTGAAGATGATGAAGTCGAGCGAGAAGATGAGCGTCAACTCCTGGATCGATCTCATGAGCGGTACGTCTATGGCGTGGCATACCAAGGCTGGTGCTCGACACTAACTATACAAACAGGAGAGACATGGAATCTCATGAAGATTGGCTACCAACTGAAACAAGTACGCGAACGACTATGCAAAGGCCTCGTCGACAAGGGCATCCTGCGCACCGAAAAGAAGAACTTCCTCCTGTTCGACATGGCTACACACCCCGTTGCAGACGGCGGCGCAAAGGAGGAGATTCGACGTAGAGTCCGGAACGTTCTCACCAACCGTACCGTGGTCCTTCCTGGCAGCCAGTTCCTCCCCGAAGAGTTGGAGTTCAGGGTGCTTCGAACCATCACCATGGTCTGCGCCGCCTATGCCGCCAACGTACTGGAGAATGCCTTGACAACGTTGGGTCACGAAGCGCGGGAACGGGCTTTCGCTCAAGTGGACGAATTGCTGGCAGAGTACTCACAATGGCCCTTTGCAAAGAGGCAGGGGGGTTCACAGGGTGTCGGCGCAAACTTGGGTCAGCTCATCACTGACGAAGTTAATGGTTCCAAGGATAAGGAGCTTCAACTTGAGGTAAGCCGATTGCATTTCGATTCCTAAAATGACGACAGAGCGCTGATGATTGAACAACAGGTTGTTGCTGCGTGCTTGAGTGTCTTCACTCGACTTGACTCATTGCTTTGAGCGAACAAGACGCATCAAGAGCAGTGATATATTGGGCTGCAGGGAGAGGGGCGCATGCCCCAGCAACAGCGAACATGAACGTTTGGAGCATTTACAGCCAGTAGATCAGACGCATATAGCCGGCGACTTGTAAGCGGCGGTGTGTCCGGGTCGGGTATGGAAAATGTAGGGTATTGTCAGTTTCTAGCATTGATGCAACTACGACGGATCTGGATGCGAGGGCGTCGGAAAGCGATGACGAGGTGTATACCAGACGCTTCTTCTTCTTTTCTACTAGGCGGTTCTTTCCATAAAATACAACCTTTATTCAATAACGAACAAGGTGCATTACACGGTGGCTTTTACTCGAAGCTTGCCTAGCTAGGCATGCGCTAGCATTCGTCATGGCGTCGCACGTGATGAGTGCGTGGAGACGATGGAGTGCGAGTGTAGTTATGTGGAACAGCCGGTAAGAAGGATCATGGCCTCTGCTCTGGTGAAAGAAACCACGACTAACAGAGGCTGCGGCTGCGTTGGAGCGTGCCGGGCAGCTTCAGTGTTCGTTATGGGCTTTGGCTGGCTCGGCGCTTGCAAGCGGCAGAACTGGCTGCTTTGGCGCAAATCCATCAATGCCTCTGCCTGACACACAACACATCATTCCAAGTTCCGAGCTTATCCACGGCCGCGACCCCGCCCAAGGTACCGCAGCAGGTGTTTCGCCGATTTAGGTTCCTGCCAATACTCTCGCCTGTGAAAGGCTTACAGACGGGCTGCTGCGCGCTTGACTACCCGATCGGCACTTCTTTCCCTGGACAGCCAAACAGAGGCCCAGCCCAGCCCTGTGACCTGTGACGACGCGCAAATTGCATGTTCCCAAAGGTATGTGTTTTTTTCTGTATTGCTGCTATTAGTTCTCATGGTCGCGGCGCCATGGATGCGCTTTCTTGAGATGGCAGCGCTGTTGTTGCTGTCGCCATGGCATCGCGCACCCGCCCCCTTCTTCTGCCAGGCGCGACCGCATGGGACGCCCATTGACCCACTCGAGCCTCCATCACTCCTTCCAGCCTCCATGCCTCGGCTCTAACAAGGGCAGCAAACACGCAGGTCGCTCCTGCCGCGCGCATTATAATTCACCACGCGATGCCCTCTCCGCCGCTAGCCGACTCCCAAGGCCTCGATCCCGCCCACGGCGCGTCCACAAACGGCAACAGCAGTGAAGGTGCTGTCCAACCCGCAAACGCCCCAACCAGCATCAATGGACCCGACAGCGCGTCCAACGAGAACAACGCGATTCGAGACGGAAAGCAGAAGGCCAAGGCTGTCATGGCGGCTTCTGGCTTGAACCTCACCGGCGCGCAGGGCGACACGGCATCGCCAGCGCAGCCCGAAGCCATCACCGGCGCGTCGCCTAGTAGAAAGCGATCGCGTTCGGGAACTCGCAAGTCTTCACGCACGCCTTCTCACGACGATGGCGCGAAACCCACAACCTCGCAGGCCCATCTCCTCGACCGTCACATTGCGCGCGACCTCCTCGACAGCGTAAACAAGTACGAGCGCAACAAACATTCCGAGAAGGTCTATGGCGAACTGAACGACCTGCGCCATTTCTACCGCGACGAGGTATACCCTGTCCGACGACAGAACCCCGGCGCCATCTTTGGATATGGCTATGCTGGCTACGGCAACGGCGTGACCGACATACCACCCGATCCTAGAGACCCGCGAGCCCTACCGCAAACGAAGCTGCTATATCCCGAACATGCCAAGCGCGCCGGCCGTCGACTCGCGCCGCAACTCAAGGTTTCGAAAGAGAAGGGTTTGCAGCAAGCAGACCAGATCGAAGAGCTTGTGCCTGTGCGTCTGGACATCGAATTGGACAGGCTGAAACTACGCGACACTTTCACCTGGAACCTCCATGACCGTGTTACCAACCCTGTGCTCTTCGCCCAGACCCTCGTCGAGGACTTCCAGATACCACCCGAGCTGCGTCAGAACGTTATGCAACAAATCGATCGCGAGATCCACGAGCAGGTTCAAGACTACTACCCTCACGCTTTCTTCGATGATGAGCCTCTGGACCCCCATCAGCCATACTCGGCATACAAGAATGACGAGATGCGGATATTGATCAAATTGAACATTACCATTGGCCAACACACTCTTGTGGACCAGTTCGAGTGGGAAATCAACAATCCTCTGAATGCGCCCGAGGAATTTGCAAGGCAGATGGCTGCTGATTTGTCACTGTCCGGAGAGTTCACTACGGCCATTGCCCATTCCATAAGAGAGCAGTGTCAGATGTTCACAAAGAGCCTGTACATCACAGGCCATCCCTTCGATGGACGACCAGTTGAAGATACCGATATCCAGGACAACTTCTTGGCCTCACCACTCCCCTCTGTATTCCGCCCGATGCAGTCTACAAAGGATTACCAGCCGTACCTATACGAACTAAGTAACGCTGACCTAGAACGAGCCGAACTATCGATTATGCGCGAACAGCGGCGCCAGAAACGATCTGTCAACAGACGTGGCGGCCCTGCCCTGCCAGACCTTAAAGACCGCCAACGGACAGTACGCACCTTGGTTGTTTCTTCAGTCCTACCTGGTGCTGCGGAAACCATCGAGGACAGTCAGCTCTTCAAGGCTACACGCAAAATTAGAGAGGGCCGCCGTCGTGGTGCTGATGGAAGCTCAGACGAATCGGATAGTGACGAATCGGTAGTAGACTCTCCCGCACCTGCGCAACTGACCGGAGGTACTGCGCGGACCCGGGGTATGCGTGGAGCTGCCACTGCTGCTCAAGCTGCTATGCGGTCCGCTATTGGAAGATCAGCAACCCCCGAAGTGTCCAACATTCAACCTCATCACGAGCCACGGGCATCCAGATCACTACGATATGAGGCGCGGGAAGAGAGTGTATCTGAGCCTACAACACTCATAGTCAAACTCCGCATATCGCCCGTCAAACTTAGGGAATTGCAGAGAAACCCAAGGGCTTTCGCAAAGCCCGCCTCGACTCCCATGGTGGCCCCCTCGCAACCCCCAACACGAAGCACACCTACCGCAAACTCAATGCCACCTCCACCATCACCAGCCATACCTACTCGTTCAACCCCAACCGCATCAGCTTCGGTAGAAGCTTCGCCGAAACCTCCGCCTACGCCCACACCAACGACCCAGAACAAGCAGTGGCAGTACAGGCCGGATGGTTCACTTGAGGCACCTTGGCCAACGCCCGCCGCTTCTCAACATGTAAGATCCTCGCCCATGTCTACGTAGATCTCTGACTAATCCACATCAGCCTCCCACTCCTCCGTGGCTTCAACAAGCACTCCAGGATCTACGTGATCGAAATCCCGGCGAGCTCTTCGAATCTACTATGCGCTATGCTGTCATGAATGAGCGCTACGAGGACCCGAAGACGGGCGATATTGTGTCCCGACAAGTCAAGCTTGATACGCTACAACCAAATGCCCCCCTGCCAGCGAACCACAAAGCATATTTCTTGCCGCGAATCCGGTGCATAGACTGCCCGGGCAAATTGTACAATGCTGGACCCGAGCAAACAGTCAATAATTTCGAACTACATCTGAAGAACCGCGTACATATGGAGAACGTGCGCAAACGGACTGGACAGCCTTTGTAGGGCAGGGCATCCAGACCTTCTGGCAGCGCGAATAGGAAATGATATTCAGAAGCATAGCGGGGTCTTTTTGATATATGCAAGCGCATTCTAGGGTATAAATTCCCGTGTAAAACAGCGGATCAGTTGGGAGCATGTGGAGTTGGGCATACAGACAACGTGCTGGTGCATCGGCGTTCTCATTTGCCGGCTACAACTTGAAAATCAGTTGTTCCGTCTTGGATTACCACTTGGAAGAGTGGACACAATCGCAAATTTTGATCTTTGTCCGAGGCTACTTTAAGTACCTTCCTACTTCTTTTCGTTGCTGGTGTCGTTTGTAAGGTATAAGTAGGGGTTGGTAGTCTTCGACGCAGCAATGTAAGTAGGCGTCAATCACTATTATTCACATCTTCAAGGCTGTGCAATTGTTTTTTTCAGTACCGTGAAGGTCTCTGTTCATTCGGCAGCCCCGAATTCCCCTCAAGATTGCCTACGTAAAGCATATCGTCTCTGCCTCAAGCCATCACTCTGTCACGTGTTCGGTTCCGGCTATACTCAGCCCGCCGGCATGATGCTCAAAGTAGCCCTTCTCGTCACTACTCTCGTCACCCTCATCATGAAAGCTCACGCTGCCACTCTCCCAATTCGGATTCTGACCCATAACATACGCTATGCCGCCGACCCGCCAGCCACAGGCGAAAAGCCCTGGTCCTCACGCAAGCAATTGATCCTTAATGAGCTACACTACAATACCTTACACAACCCAGAATCATTCATATGTCTTCAAGAAGTACTCAATGAGCAGCTAGTTGATATCATGACCGGTCTGGGCGACGAATGGGCCTACATCGGCGTAGGCAGAGACGATGGCAAAACAAAAGGCGAATACAGTCCTATCATCTATCGGAAAGCCGTCTGGGAACTGGTGACATCGCAGACCGTTTGGCTAAACGAGAACGGAGCGGTAGGGAAGAAAGGCTGGGACGCGGGATCTGTCCGCATCCTCAATTTGGGCGAATTCAAGCACAAGCAAAGTAAAAAAGCCATGGTAGCGATGTCTACGCACTTTGACAACGCAGGCGCTATCTCGCGCCGCGAGTCTGCGAAGATCATCGAAAAGGTCGTTGCAAATGTCACTTCGCCCACCTCAAATACTTCGTCTTCCACCTTACCTTTCTTCCTGGCCGGCGACCTCAACTCTGAGACTTCTGGCGAAGCATACAAGATTCTAAACAACGGTTCGTCCATCATGCAAGACACAAAGGAGCAGGCCAAGTGGCTGTACGGGGACACGAACACGTTTACGGATTTTGATGACCAGACGAAGACGCTGATTGACTTTGTTTTTGTGGGACCGAGAGGAAAGAGCGATTGGGTGCTTGAGGGATATAGTGTTTTGCCGAATAAATTTGAGGATGGGGTTTATGGTAGTGATCATCGGGCTGTTGTTGTAGATGGATTGCTCAAGATTTGAGGTTGGGCTCTTGCTTCGTTCCAAGGTTGTCTGGATCAAGACTGTCATTAGTATGGGATTACACGCGTACACAATTGACAGCTACCTGACAATAGTGAAATTGCTTTGCGTTTTCACCTGTGTCCGGTTATGCAGCAGATACGGAGTTCACCCACCGTAGCCCAGATGATCACAAGCCTAACGTCTAGATCCAGGCAGATTAATTCACTTTGGGAAGAAAAGCAGGTCGAGTGTGACGTTGTCAGGCGATCGTCGTCATTGGGCTTTGGCTAAGCGAAAGCTCGAAACCACCCCACTGAGGGGCTGGTCTGTGAACACAGGAACGACCTCGCGCACCACTCCAATTCTAGCTCCAGCCCATCTTCCCACACTCAACTATACTCAAGATGGCCGAAACCGCAGCTGTCGGTAAGCTCAATCCTCCTTCCCTATGCATGTCGTCGACATATGAAGCTGTTTTAGACAGAGACATAGCTTAAAGCACAGTTTTGTCTTTGTCAATGAGTCGCAGGAGCTAACCCATATTGCAGACTACACTTTGGCGAACCCAGATACTATCACCAAGTACAAGGTCGCCGCCGAAATCTCCCAGAAAGTCCTCAAGGAAGTCTCCGGTACGATGCTCTTCAAGCTCGCGCTTACTTCACGCGCGTAAACAGACACAAAACTGACCGGTTCAGGATGGATCGCCGCCGATGCCAGCATTGTCGAGCTCTGTGAGCGCGGTGACAAGCTCCTAGACGAGGAGGTTGCCAAGGTCTACAAGGGCAAGAAGGTCGTGAAGGGCATTGGACACTGCACCACCATCTCCCCGAGCGCCTATATCACCCCGTACACACCACTCAAGTCCGACACCGAGGAAGCCGCCACGACACTGAAGGAGGGAGAGGTTGTCAAGATTCAGTTGGGCGCCCAGATCGATGGCTTCTGCGCAATTGTTTGCGACAATGTCATTGTTGGCGCCGCTGAGGAAGTCACCGGACGCGAGGCAGATCTCATTCTGGCTACACACTACGCCAACGAGCTCCTGCTCAGGTTGATGGTACCTCCAAGCTTGATCCCCCACAGCGATGAGGAGGAGCAAAAGAAGGCTGCAACAAAGAAGCCCTACACCCAGAGCCAGATGACCAACATGCTTGAGAAGGTTGTCAAGGCCTACGGCTGCAACCTCGTCGAGAGCACTACCATCTGGCAATTCGACCACAACGAGATAGAATCCAAGAAGAAGATTATCCTTGCGCCTGGTGAAGGTGTCAGGGGTGACGGTCTTCCTGAGGTCGGTGAGGTGTGGGGTGTTGAGATGGGTGTCAGTCTCGGAAGCGGCAAGGTCAAGAACAATGGCAACAGGACTACTCTGCACCGACGTACGGCTACCACCTATCAGCTCAAGCGTCCTACCTCGCGAAGCCTCTTGTCTGAAGTAGTCAAGAAGTTCGGTACCTTCCCCTTCAGTCTGCGACAGCTGGAGGACGAGAAGGGCGCCAAGGTTGGTGTTGTCGAGTGTGTTCGTACCGGTGTACTTCGCCAGTACGAAGTCGTCGTTGACAAGGACAACCAGCCCGTAGCTAGGGTGTTCTCAACTGTTGGTAAGTTCTAGGATTCCCCTGCTCGCTCCTTGCTCAGGAGATGTCCGATATTGGCCGATGTGCTCGCTTGTTTGATCTCTCAAACATGAACCATCTTGCTGGATGTAGAGCATCACACAGGCAAATTTGTTAGCTAACATCGTAACAGCAATCACCAAGAACGGAATGCAGCGCCTAGCTCAACCTACTGCCATTGACACTTCCAAGTACAAGTCTGACAAGAAGATCGAGGACGAGGAGATCCTCAAGATTCTGGAACAGCCTATTGGCAAGACTTCAACAAAGAAGAACAAGAAGAAGAAGAAGAAGCCTGCCAAGAAGGCCGCTGAGGGCGGTGCCGCCGCTGAAGAGGAGGAGGACGATGATGACGAAGAGTAGATGTAGGTTCTAGGGAACCGTAACGCCATACCCGCCTCTCGACTATGAACCTGGATGACACGGACTGTTTTGAGATCGCAAAAACGGCAGCCCCGGAAACAAAATCGGCAATTGACCTAGGTCTGATATGCCTTATCGTATGGTCATGCACATGATTATGTAGAAGCGATAGCAATTCACAAAAAAGAAAGATCAGTTCTCCGGACGTCATCTACCATAGCTTTTGGTTGTTGAAACTGATTCAGCACATAATGTATAACAGTCTCGCGCTCGAAATGTGCCCCTATGATCTGCGAGATGAGACCGTGCATGTCAACGCGTCTTTAGCCTCCAGACATGGCTTCAGCATACCCGATGATCGGCGATTATGACCACGGGATACAAACACACTGTTGCAACAAACAGTTTTCATGCGCGGAGTATTAGTCTCAGAGGATGGAGCAAGTGGTAGACTATATCGCGTCGTCTTTCGGGTCTTCGTTCAGGTCTGTCTATCCCATACGCTATTGTTCTGCATGCGCCGGATAGAGTGACTATAGTGAATCTCCCAAGGCTTCCTGATCGCCTTAGACGACAGGGCGTATACATTGTCCATGTAGACAGTCAGGCACAACGTGAGATAAGGCAAAATAGGTATGCAGAGAATACCCCTGAGTGGATGATGCGAGGACTGTTTGTCCGTCAAGATTTTTTTGTAGCAGCACCAGATAACATGGCCGTACACTGTCTCTGTATGAGTATAGATTCAGGAATTGCGTGGCGATATCTACAGGTTGCGATTGGTGAAGGTGAGATGGGCACGTCAAGAAAAAAGCGGACTTGGTATTGTAGACTCCCTTTGGAATAGTTGCACCACCACCACGACGATACACCACTTTTGTTGAGACTCAAAATCGATGAACCGATCGAGGAAGTCTCTGTCTATCCGCAAATATAACTTGGAGATCCTACAAGATACTGCGATATTTGCGGTTGCGTAGGGGGCTGACATAATAAGAAGGCCCGTCCAAGCGTCCAGGGCACCCTCGAACAACCTTCAGCGACTCTCATTCTCGCACTACCGACCCACCACGACGGGCACGGCATTGCGGCGTCTTGAATTCTCGGACAACACGTGAAGTAACTCTCGTCATGCTCGTATCTGCTACAGCGCGCTGACCAAACTGTAGTTTCGCCATGCCGGCCCTCCGCAAGTCTCTCCGGGAGTCGCGCGACTTTAAATCGCAACAAAGGTCCAGCACCACGCCCTTCGCCTCACCTACCGGCACTCCAAGCGAGCACACCAACGAGAAGAAGCAACGATCAATCACCGAATGGACTGAACCCCAACCGCAAACTCTCGCCCCATCGTTCGAAGAGCACGGTTTTGCGCGGCACGGCGTCTTGGAGAATATGGCCCCCCTCGGTGTGCCTCCAAAGGCAAAGGACAAACAGCGCGCGCGCGCTCTCGACGGGCCGCCCACTGCTCGACATTCGCTACTGGGGAAGAGCGCGGTTTTTGCAGGTGACGAGGTTGGGTCTACGCCAGAAGTCACTCCAGCTCCTGAGCTCGAGCCGGACGACTCGGAGCGGCAAGAGGAGGACGAGATGCCGGTTGGCTTTCCCATGCTTGAAGACGACGAGGACGACGACTACGAGCCCAAGACGAAGGCGAAGAAGAAGGTGAAGGTGTCAAAAACTCCTGTCAGGGGCAAAACCCCAGTGCAGAGTAAGACACCTGTCAATGGCAAGACGCCCGTCAAGAACGGCCACACCAAAAGCACCTCTGTTTCCGCTAGTCCAGCAGTTCAAGCTGTTTCCATGTCAGAGCCCGTTGAAGCTGCGACTCAGCGTATCCAGATTGCTGTCAATGATGCTATCTCCAAAGCCAACAGTCACACTGGCAAGCGCTACGTGGGCATTGCCTTGCGGCGCGCCTACGAGCAGAGCAAAACAGACTCCGCTTTGGCAGACGCTATCGAATCAGTAATTCATGGAAAGAGCACCAGTGAACAGCTCTACCGATTTCGCAAATTCATCAAGCAGTTCAAGCAGGAGGAAAAGACGAGGTTGGGCTTGAGCAAAGACAGGCGCTTTGACCAACAAGCTGCGATGAATCACGATGCCTCGTTCTTCAGTCAGCAGCCATCCCCAAGGGCCAGTAGTGAGATCGTTCCTGATGACTCTGTTTCGGCTGTCAACGACTACCAGGATAGACAGTTCATGAACTCTACAAATTCAGCTACAAACTTTTCGCACAAAGCACTGCAATCAGCTCTTGATCAAAATTCAGGCCAAGCACCGCCTCATCCGTTTAGTACCGCACCCGCTCTTCCAGCGACTGCTGACACCTCAGCTGAGTCAACGCCGAGGATGCAGTCCAAGTCGCCCCGAAAACGAACCGCTACCAATGGAAGTCTGGCGCCGGATTCTGCGATGGAACTGGACGGAGGAATTTCTACTACAGCACCAACTCCAGCCGCAAGGACGCCGGACACTGGGGCGAGCGATTCTGAGCTATCAGATGTCAATGAAGAGATTGTCCAGAAAGGCCCTCCAGAGCCTGTGCAGGTCAATGGAAAATCTACTGCACCTGCGCCAGTTGTAGCTCCAAAGAAAGGAAAGAATCCTGCGGCTGCACGTGCTGCTAAAAAGATGAAAGGCAATGCTGGGAGGCTATTCGGGAAGCATGCCCACAAGCTACAGCCACCGACCGCGGAGCAGCAAGCGGAAGATGAGCGACTCAATGAGATGCGAAAAGCTATGGTCGATGAGCAGCCTATCCGGAAACTTGAGCAAATTCCTCCTCCCATCTCCGATGTCCGCTTCGATGACGAGATTCTTGAGACAGAGTCTCTAACTGAGTCTCAAATCGCGGTGGGACCTCCTGTTGATTCTGATCAACCGCGACGCGCTGGGCGGGTTCCAAACCATGGTACTAAGCGTATACGAGAGGATCCGTCACGGTTCTCATCACCTCAGTTCGAACCGGCTGTGTCGTCGCGCCCTTCAACGCCTGCGATGGGACCGGCACCTAAGCGGGTCAAGCTCACTAACGGACAGGGCGCGAGGACGAAACGATCGTAAGTATTTTCAGCTCAATTTCTCAGCATCCTTGTCATTTTTCAGTGTTGGTCGATGCATGTACCCGCTTTGGCACAGGGCTGTAAGGCGTCGACTGAGCAAGCTCTACGTGTTTGCACGTGTTCGCATCGTACATTCCTCAACACACCATCAAGTCATTACAGGGCTAACGTTCCACGTATAGGCCGGTCAAAAACCGAGATGCAGGACCTATTGCTGGTGTAGCCTTTACTGGCGGTGGCGGTTCGAGACAGCTGGGGCCTGATGACAACGACCCGGTAAGTGCCACTGGAATTCCGAAGCATCCAACCACACCATTCCTCTTTCACCACACAACCCATCAACCACATTTTATCTTTTTCATCCTCAACATCAATGCTGCTCACTACAAACATCACGCCACTCAAATTTCCATATTCTCCTCCACTTTCTGTCCTTTCTTCACCTCTAACAGAATGTCAGAACTCGCCGCAGTCAGAGAGCGACGACTTTTGCTCTGCGTGTAGAGGTGCAGGCGAGTTTGTATGCTGCGAAAACTGTCCACGCGTTTTTCATCTTCTCTGTTGCGATCCGCCACGAACTCAGGTTCCAGATGGAGCGTTCTACTGCTACGAGTGCAACGCAAAGTCTGCTGCACCCGACGATTCCGCGGACTCGTATCCCAGTCTGGGTCCGCTCTTCAACAAACTCGAGCGTACCAACCCTCGCGCGTTTGCTCTGCCTTCAGACATCCAAAATAACTTCGAGGGCGTTTCTGCACGTCCCGATGGCTCGTACTCTGAGGAGGTCAAGAAGTTTCCGCTGTAAGTGTGACGCGTTTCGTCGCGTGATTTGGCACTAACATCACAACAGGGCGAAGAACAGTGGCTATGGCTACCAGAGACCTGAATACACCAAGCTCATTGATGCTGATCACAAAGTTATCTTATGCACGCAGTGCGGAGTGTCGAGTGGTAACAAGCGCCAAATGCTGAAGTGTGACTTTTGCCACGCGTACTGGCACTTGGACTGCGTCGACCCACCTCTCGCTAACCCGCCACATATCAGCCTTGAAGCATCTCAGCGGGACGCCTGGAGATGTCCTCGACATATCGAACATGACCTTCGCAGTGGTCTCCTGCTGCAGAACGATTTGAGTTCTAAAGATGGGGATTCTGAGATGGCCGATGCCGCGCCGGTAGCTCGGGTGCCACGTAGAGTCCGAGTGCGCAAGCAACCCGAATACGTTGAGTCAACATTCTCACGTGGTATGCGTAACAACGGCTTGATTGATATCACAAATGATCCTGACGATGACACTGATGGCGAAGGCAATTATGTGTTCGGCGACAATGAATCTAAGGATGTCAACTCCAAGATCTTCCGTGTCCCCGAGAAGGGACTCATCCTTGACTTCGTCAGCAAGGTCAAGAGGTATGTGCAGTCGCATCAGAAAGTCATCACACTGATCACTAATGCGTTGTAGCGGCCGTGTAGGGAAGAAGGTCGAAGCTCGACACGCTGCAGACACTGCATCACGGCGCAGAGCGTCGATGCAAAATTTCATCGCGTATCCATTCCCACAGCAGCAGGCAGCCCTGGCTCTGGCACAGTTGGCAAACAAGACGCCAGAAACGAACCTGGGTGAGGGCAAAGTCCATGCGCTCATCCTCGGTCTCACTGTAAGACTGCCTGTAGCCCACCGGCCTTGTTTTGATCATCGGCGCTAATTCACGTGAAACAGTCCGAAGCTCCCCCGGCTGTCTCCTCAGCCATGTCCAACGCAGATCCGCCGCCGCCCTCAGCAGACGAACGCGCGCATTTGGAGATGCTGCAGAAGCTCATTCAGCAACGACTTGGAGCTTGAATACCCGTCGAGTACACCGGATCTGAACCTAATCATTTAGCTTATTTGCCGCGACGCCACCGCACAACATGGACGCATCTGGACCCCCACGACGCCTTTATCCAACCCTAAAGCTCAACTACGTCAGATCATCACAAGGTATCTTCATCAAGGTAGTGCATACCTCCAAGACAGGCTGTGAATGAGGCGTTGGAATGCTCAGCTCTGCTCGTCTAACTTCCGTACTCGATCATGACACTTGTTCGCTAACGGACGCGCGGCACGGTCCTTGTCCGACACGTCAACGATTTTTGTCTCTTTTGAAAAAAGCTCCCTCCCTGGTCCTCCGCATCCTTGTTTTGGTGGGTTATTTTGCACACGATGCGTATATTGCGCGCTCGTTTTGTCCCATACGTTTTCCAAGTACAAACAGCTATATATTGTCAAATCCCTGCACTTTTGACAGGGAATTTCTTTCGCTGTACCACAACTGCATAGCGAGGAGTTTGAATCGGGTACTTTTTGTACATTCCTAGCTCTTGGTGATGAGCTTTTGTTCTGTTCCATGGCGTTTCTAGGGTGCTCTATCGAGCAAGATGGATGAGGGACAAGTGCAAACTTTCTGCCTAGTTTAGGACGCGGGTGTCACGCGGCCTGCATATTTACTCGCTATTCTCCTAGGAGGATTTACGATGCACATCTCAGGAAGGCATGTAGTTTTACATAGGCGACGAACAAGAAGTCTACTGTGTCTTTGACGTTTTGTGCCCCATCTGGATCTTATGTGAGAAGCGAGAATGTAGCTCAGCTACCCGGGTGTTGGCATAGACAACCAAGAGAGTTTTGTTTCAGGCTGACTTGGGTTCCTAAGGTTCCACCATGTCAGACACTGTGCACATATACCACGATAAATAACCCGTCGTGAAGCTTCTCACCAGTCCATGTCGACTCAGCTTCGTTCGGTTTTGCTAAGTAGTAACAAACATTGCTGACAAATGTATATACCATCTTGTATCGTCTAGACGCAAGACCACAGAATACTGCGGCTCTGTTTGGGGCACATTTTGTCAAACACATTGTAGTAGAAAGAACGGAATTGCTCGCACATCGAAAAGGCGGTGTTATCCTTGACCAGAAGTAGATAAGAAAAATAAGATGGATTGAACATGTTAATTGGGTATGATTTATTCCATGATTCGTCCAATCGTCTCAACCTAATGCAGCGATAAGGCTATGTTTACTGGCAATGCGGTAGCTTGACTATTCTGGAACCGCATCACGCGAATCAACTCATATCTCATCTCGTTCTGTAGCAAGAGCTACGGGACAACGTCACGTGAAGCTAAAATTCGTGTGGCTTACGCTCAAGGCTTGCAGCGACCGAAGTAGCGAGGGTACAGGCAGCAGTCGCGGACGGTGTGCTGCTTGCAGAGCCAGGCGAGGAAGCGCTCAAGACCAAGACCGTAACCGCCGTGGGGAGAAGAACCGTACCTGGAGTTATGTTAGTAAGGCACAAACTGATGGAACGCGTATGGTGGTTGACTTACTTCCTCTGGTCAGTGTACCAGTAGTACGCCGCAGGATCGATACCTTCCCTTCCGTATGCAGCCATCAACTCATCATAGTTGTCCATCCTCATGCTGCCACCAACGATTTCACCGACACCAGGCATCAAGCAATCTACACTCTCGGTAACCCTAGCATCGTCCTTGTCCTTCAGCATGTAGAAAGCCTTGATCTCGGCGGGGAAGTGAGTCAGGAAAATAGGCTTGTTGATGATATCTGTCATGCGACGCTCAGCAGCCTCGGCGATATCGTCACCGAATTTGTGCGGCTCGCCATCTTCATTGGGGATCCCGTTCTCGACGAGCCAGTCGATGGCGTCTTGGTACTTCATGCGCTTGAAAGGCCGCTCTGGTACTTGGAACTCGGGGTTAAGGTCCATGATGTATTGCTTGATGACAGGGTCGGACATGGTGACTTCAAGGACACGGCACATGACCTCCTCCAGGTGGTTCAGTAGATCATCAAAGTTGATGTAGTCGAGCTCGGCTTCGACGTGTGTGTACTCAGCCAAATGGCGACGTGTCAGTGACTTCTCTGCACGGAAAGATTTCTCAATACAGTAGACGTCACCCATAGATGGCAAACAAGTCTCAAGGTATAGTTGAGACGACTGGGTGAGGTATGCTTCCTCGTTGTAGTAGCCGAACTTGAAAAGCGTAGAACCACCCTCAACCTGGGTTTGGACGAGCGCTGGCGGGCTGACCTTGCGTAACCGAAGTTCCTTGTAGACCTGGTTGAACGCAAACTCGACAGCATCACGGACGATCAAGACCTTGGACGCCGTCTCTCCGCGCATGGTGAGATGTCGCAGATCCAACAGTGTCGCGTGCTCAGTGTCCTTTGATACCCTGTTGGTGATGGCATCGTCGCCACCCGCAGCCTTCCATCCGTCGTGGATCTTGTAGTAGTCGACGTGTAGTTCGCGGTTGTTGGGTGCGTGTGCGCCCTCGGGGATCTTCCTCAGCTCTCCGAAGACCTCCATGCTGGTCTCGCGGGTCAAAGTGAGGGCATCGTAGGTCTTTGCCAGCTTGCCGGTGAAGATGAGCTGCATCTGACCGTAGCCGTCTCTTAGTGTAACGAACATGACGTCCTTTTGTCTTCGCTCACGATGGACACGGCCGAAAACGCGTACTCGTGTACCCTTTGTATCCTTGCCATCTCCTAGTGTGATCTTCTTCGAGTCGGTGTCGTCGAGCTTGATCCTGATGGGCGCAGGCAAGCTCTTGTCCTCTTCCAAGACAATCTTCTTGGCTTCGTCCAGTACCTTGTTGCGATCATGCTCCTCCTTCATGCGCTGGGCAAGTAGTTGTTGGTCCTTCTCCTGCTTCTTCTTCTGTGTTTTGGCGTAGTTGACTGCCTTTTTCATGGCCGACTTTGCGGCTTCCTTCCACTCTAGCCTCGATGTCGCATCCGCACCCTCTGCGACCTCGCCGGTGACGCTCTTGCGTGTAAGGAACTTTGCCGTCTCGCCGCGCGTGAGGACAGCGTATCCGAGTGACTTGTAGGGAAGTGATTCGTCGCCGGTTTGTTCTGGGATATCGTGACCGACATCTTCATCGATGTAGTAGGTAGCCTCGGCCATGATTGCGGTATTTGCAGATTCGAGTCGTGTTCAATGGGTCGTTGTCGCGCTCCGAAATATCTTGAGTGGTCGCGGGGTGAGTCAAGAACCCCTCCAACAATGCTCCGTGCGCGCCCATGTGAAGCGCATAATGTATCGATAAGACTCACACTCCCAATGCCGCCTCCTTATCTGTCGGTGAAATGTCATATCAATGCCGTCTATGTATATTTCCAGACGCCAAATTTCGCCTATCTGTTCGGCTCGAGAACAAATCTCTAATCTTGACTTGCTGCTTGCATAGGACATAACGCTTCGGCATAAGCCGACAACTCACGCGTCTCACGCCATCGTCCCAACTTGTGGCTACGACTCACCAGACTTGGAACTTACAAGTGGCGACGGTAACTTAGGCTTAATGAATGTACCTGAATTAAACATGTCTGCATTAGGTATTGCAAGCCGAGGCTGCTCTAATTCCGCGCTGACAAACGGGGTACCTAACCTCCAGTGCATACTGTTTTTTATCACGTCATATATAACAGTGATTTGGTACGCCAGAAAAGTCGCAGATATTCTCTTACATAGTATTCGATTAAACAATGGCAGATCCAAATCTCTACAAGTACGAATCTCCTCTAAAGGGCTATGAAGGCCTTGAGGCACTACCAGAGTATGTTCTTCCTTGACATATTTTCTGTATCATATGTCGACTACAGTGGTATTCGTGGTTGAGACAAGGACTCACAATCTATAGCGAGAAGGCTGCAGACGGGAAGTCGTATCTGAATCCACCAGCCGAGATGATAAGCGAAGCGTATAAGTCTTTCGTAGCTCCTCTAGACAACGGCATACGAGGGGGCTTTGAGTAGGTGTCAACGCGGCGAGTCGATTGCTCATGTATCTGACAGTACCCAGCGCCCACATTTACTTTCTCCAGTCCGATAACGAAGAGGTCAAATTCGCCAACGAGCTGTGGGAACGCATACGTCGCGAATGTGAGAACGAGATTCATACTTCCAACTTGCACATACGCTGACTGAACACAAGTCCCTGAGCTGCGCATCTATCGAGTATGGGATCGACCTATTGGCCCTCATCCTGTTGCCATGTTTGAGGTTAACATATTCACGCCCGGTATGTACGGCGACTGTTCATTCTGAAACCTTCCCTGACGACGGATAGAACAATTTGGTGCTTTCATTCCCTGGCTTGTCATCAACAGGGGGCCTTTGTCTGTTCTGGTCCATCCTAATACTGATGACGAGTTGAGAGACCACACCCAAAGAGCGATGTGGCTGGGACAACCACTGCCTCTGAGCACAAAGTCATTCAGAGAGAAAGATGAGAAATTATAGGAGCAAACGTGGAGACAGTAGAGTATAGGTATTATTCAGTGCTGTCTTCTGGTGTGCTGCACTCCATTGGCGTCTCTGGCGCTTGGGAAGCCACGTTTTGCTGATGCTGTATCTCTTCAGATACGCCATCCTTACGACTCGTTTCGGCAGCCTCTCCCAGTGGCATGCTCGTGGTACTGTCCGCGCAAGCCCTCAAAATCAATCAACCGATGCTTTTGTAACATCGAAGTGCCCCTTGCGTGTCTGATGGTATCATAGTGCCTGGCTGCTCTCACACTTTGGTCTCGCCCTTCTTCTTTTTCTTCGTCTTCTTCGCCTTCTTCTTATCTCGCTTCTTCAGTCCGCTCATGCCAGCCTTGCAAGCCTCAGCATATCGCGCATAGAAGCCGTCCAAGTCATCTGGCTTGACGACGGTGCTCAACTCGATTTTAGGGATATCTTCCCTGTCGGTTCCCGCCTTCTTGCTGCTCTTGTTGTTGTGCGCGCGGATCAAGACAGGCAATGGCTCTTCAGGATGTGTGTCCCATAACGGGTCATCGGCGACTTTGCTGGCTGGTGGTGGTGCAGCAGATGTGTCGAAGGTCATGCGCTTCTGAACTAGGTAGACGCTGCCGTGGCCTTTGGTGCGCGTGTACTCGAAGAGATTGGCAAGCCGAGTGAAGAACTGGGCAGGTCAGTATTTGACAAGCACTTGATAAAATCACATATCGTACCTCGTCGTTGCTTAAGTGTTCTCGCCCCATAATGAAAGTCGTGTGCTATATTATGCGCGCCATGTAGTAGGTCGCATGGTGGGATGCCCGCGGCCGTGGCGTGGAGCGGAGACGCGGGGAAATCTCTCACCCAAACTCCGACTTCTCGAACTTTTTTGCGACCCTAACGTCTCGACCATCTCAATATGCGCCCAACTTTCGGAGGGCCCAAACTGCCCGTTGAGCTGCGAAACCAGCTTGGAGGTGTGTTCGACATGGCCTGGTGATGTTTTATTACTGACACTAGCAGATCCAGCCAACAACAAGCGACGAAACGGTCCGCGCAATGGGCCACCGAATCGCAAAGACAGGCGCAAGGCTGATCGTGTAGAGAAGAAACGCCAGAACAAGCAGGTCAGACGACCAGCGCCATCGCATCCACACAATGGCCGGGGACCACGCCGTGAAGCCGACGACGACGACGACGATGAGGAGGAGGAGGAAGAGGAAATAGATTGGGACAACATCGAATCCGACGCTACACCACCTCCGATAGCTGCGAAAGAATCGCCCAAGCCGCTGAAAAGCATTCTCAAAGCGAAGCCACCACAGCCTGAAGATGCCTCACCGCCACCTGCCAAATTATCACGCGCCGCTCGGGAGAAGCTTGCGCAAGATGATGCCGACATTGCCAAGTTAGAGAAGAAGCTAGGTGTAAAGAGCAAAAAGAGATCCAAGGGAGCGGATGATGGCCTGGACGACATATTTGGCGACCTTGGGGATTTTAGCGACGAAGAAGAGGTACAACCTACAAAGAGGAAGAGGGATGAGGACAATGATTGGCTCGCAAGCAAGAGGCGGAAAGCTCTGGGTCAGGAGTCGAGTGAGGAAGATGACAGCGGGTCGGAAGGTTCTGAATCAGATGATGAGGACTTGGACCTTGAAGAGGCGGGCTTCGATGAGGATGATGAGACAGAGGATGGCTCTGATGACGGCTTTGGCTCTGAAGAGGACGACGACATGGAGGACGCGGAACCAGAACAACCGCGCATACGAGAGAATCCATACGTCGCCCCTGCAGCGCCAAATGCTCAACCAACCAAGTACATACCGCCTGCGCTGAGAGCACCTCCCTCGTCAGACACGGAGGCTTTGCTACGTCTCAAAAGACAAATTCAAGGTCTCTTCAACAGACTCTCAGAAGCCAACATATTGTCAATTCTACGCGACATCGAGAATATATACCAAAACAACCCTCGAGGCTACGTCAACAATACATTGGTCGACCTACTTGCTAGCATGTTGTCGGATCCCACAGCTCTTCTGGATACCTTTGTAAACTTGCACGCTGGTTTCATCGCTGCGGTGTACAAGGTCATCGGGCCCGACTTTGGTGCACAAATAGTGGAGCGCATCGTCACAGAATTCGACCAACACTACCAGGCGAACAAAGATGGCAATGGAAAGCAGACTTCGAATTTGATATCTTTGGTGGCGGAGTTGTACACTTTTCAAGTTATCGGCAGTAACATCGTTTTCGACTACATCCGATTTTTCCTTGATGAGCTCACGGAAATCAACACTGAACTCTTGTTGAGGATAGTCAGAGCAGCCGGCCCACAACTACGACAGGATGATCCAAGTTCACTCAAAGACATTGTTGTTTTGCTGCAAAAGTCTGTGGCAAAAGTTGGACAGAGTAACCTGCCCGTTCGAACAAAGTTCATGATCGAGACGATCAATGATCTCAAAAACAACAAGATGAAGACGGGTATAGCTTCGTCTGCGATTTCTCGAGAGCATACGATCCGCATGAAGAAGCAGTTGGGTACTCTGAACTCAAGGAACCTAAAAGCAACTGAGCCGTTACGCGTTGGGCTGAAGGATATCAAAGACACGGAGAAGAGAGGAAAATGGTGGCTGGTAGGAGCGAGCTGGCGAAATGAGCCAGGCAACGAGGAAAAGCCCGAGGAGCCAAAAGAAGCCGGCAAGACTACAGCCGAGATCGACATTGAGGACGAAGACAGCGAAGTCGACCTCGTGCAGCTTGCTCGTGAACATCGCATGAACACAGACATTCGGCGCGCCATTTTCATCTCCATCATGTCTGCCAGCGACTTCAAAGATGCCCAGATACGATTGAACAAGCTCAACCTCAAAAGATCCCAAGAGGCAGAGATTCCACGAGTCATCGTTCACTGCGCAGGCGCTGAAAAGACCTATAATCCATACTACACTGTTCTTGCCCGCAAGGTCTGTTCAGACCACAAGACACGGAAGAGTTTCCAATTTGCGCTCTGGGACATATTCAAGAGCCTAGGAGAGAAGCAAGACGGTGCAGATGACGATGACTCTGACGACGACGATGCGGGTGGCGACACATCTCTTCGAAAATTGGTCAATCAAGGCAAACTGTACGGCACACTAATTGGACGAAAAGCTCTGCCTATCACTACTCTCAAGAACCTCAACTTCCCGTATTTGCAGCCCAAAACCAGGACTTTTGTCGAGGTTTTGTTAGTCACTACAATCCTAGAGTCGCTAAAGTCATCAAAATCGAAGGACAAGCGAGATGAGCGGGCAGTGCGCGAAGTGTTTGTGGAGGTAGACCAGGCTCCCGAGATGATTGCTGGGCTGCAGTTCTTCCTGAAAAAGGCTGTTAGCAAGACGGAAATTGTCGAGCAGACGGAAAAAGAGACCGTGCGGTGGGCTTGCAAGTCGATAATGGACATGTTGACGAAAGTACTGGCCACGACCACTCTGCAGGAAGATTGAGAAACGGAAAGTAATAGACCATTCACCATCAGATATCGCAAGAATACCCTCTGTTTGCCGTGTATAGTAATGCGAAACCCATTTTGCCGCGATACTTGGACGAAGATGTTACGGAGTAGATGTGAGGCACTTTGTCAGCTTGGCGCCACTTGACCCTACGGAAGCCGCATAGACCTTCCCGGCCGAGCTCCGCAAAAAGCTCAACCACATCTCCCATCCCACGCCCCATCCATTGACGCCTGTCATCCCCGCCGTACACTTTACGGCTTCTCTTGGTAGCGATTCTTCGGTAGTCTCCACCATGTTCCGCTCACTGGCACCCCGCGCCATCCAAAGGGCGACGCGGCCCGTCTCCCAAAAGACATTTTGCGCATCCAACATCTACTTCCAGAACCGGTTACGACGAGGCTATGCGTCGGAAGCTGGTAAGTCGCATTGCCGTAAAGACCGGTACGGTGACTTTTGCTGATTGCTGGACAGAGGACAAGGACCTAGTCATCATTGGTGGTGGTGTCGCAGGCTATGTCGCAGCCATCAAGGCAGGACAGGCGGGCATGAAGGTTAGCGAGAACAGACGTAGAGATTTCGAGGTCCAGAGAGCTAACACACTGCGACAGGTCACCTGTATCGAGAAGCGTGGCTCCCTCGGTGGAACTTGCTTGAACGTCGGCTGCATTCCCTCAAAATCGCTCCTCAACAACTCGCATCTTTACCACCAGATCCTCCACGACACAAAAGGCCGCGGTATCGAAGTCAACGATGTCAAGCTCAACCTCCCCGCCATGATGAAGGCAAAGGACACTTCCGTGTCTGGTCTCACCAAGGGAATCGAGTTCCTTTTCAAGAAGAACAACGTCGAGTACATCAAGGGAACTGGTGCGTTCCAGGACGAACACACTGTTGCTGTCAACCTGGTCGAGGGTGGCGAAACCACTGTTCGCGGCAAGAACATTCTCATTGCCACTGGCTCTGAGGCTACACCCTTCCCCGGCTTGACCATCGACGAGCAGAAGGTCATCACAAGCACTGGCGCTATTGCGCTCCAGGAAGTGCCAAAGAAGATGACCGTCATCGGCGGTGGTATCATTGGACTTGAGATGGTAGGAACAGTTCTCTGACCCACAAGGCATTTCTAACGATTCACAGGCCTCCGTATGGTCGCGTCTGGGTGCCGAGGTCACTGTCGTCGAATTCTTGGGCCAAATTGGTGGCCCTGGCATGGACGCCGAGATCGCCAAGGCGACCCAGAAGATCCTCCAAAAGCAGGGCCTGAAGTTCAAGCTCAACACCAAGGTTACCGCAGGTGAGGTTCACGACGCTGGCGTCAAGGTCAGCGTTGAGGCCGCCAAGGGTGGAAAGGAGGAGACCGTAAGTTCAGCGCAAGCACCTCGATTCAGAAGCATTGCTAACAATCACAGATGGACGCTGACGTCGTTCTCGTTGCCATCGGTCGCCGCCCATACACATCTGGTCTTGGTCTGGACAACATCAGCCTTGAGACCGACGACAGGGGCCGCTTGATCATCGACCAGGAGTACCGCACCAAGATTCCCCACATCCGCGCTATCGGAGACTGCACATTCGGACCTATGCTTGCCCACAAGGCCGAAGAGGAGGCTGTCGCTGCCATTGAGTACATCCACAAGGGTCACGGTCACGTCAACTACGGCGCCATTCCTTCCGTCATGTACACTCACCCTGAAGTCGCCTGGGTCGGTCAAAACGAGCAGGAACTCAAGGAGGCTGGTATCAAGTACAAGAACGGAACCTTCCCCTTCTCCGCCAACTCAAGAGCTAAGACCAACCTCGACACCGAGGGTATGGTCAAGTTCCTCGCAGATGCTCAGACTGACCGGATATTGGGTATCCACATCATTGGACCCAACGCTGGTGAGATGATTGCTGAGGGTACCCTTGCTCTCGAATACGGTGCCAGCTCAGAGGGTAAGTCAACATGCAGTTTCTCGTTTCGTGACAAGATACTAACGATATTGCAGATGTTGCTCGAACATGTCACGCTCATCCTACCCTCGCTGAGGCGTTCAAGGAGGCTGCTATGGCCACCTACGACAAGGCTGTTCACTACTAGATTCCCCCTTTTTGGTCCGGCTTTCCTTTATGCATCAGCGACATGATGTTCGAGCTCTCAAGCGCGCGAGCAGGGAGTTGTGAATAGTATTTTGTAGAATATATCTGATGCGTCATGCTCGCCAATTAAAAGCTTGGGAATGATGTGCATGTGATGTGGAGCCGATAAGGCTGAGATACCCTGCTAGTGGCGTTTTGTCGCGTGCACGTAACGCGTACCGCGATTTGGGATATTGATGTCAATTACACCCGCTTCGGACCGTCTTCACCCATACCACACCCTTCGACACAAGACGCCATGAGTAACGATGAGATCGAACAGCGCTGCACTGAGCTACGACATGAATTGAAGGCCTGGGAAAAGAAGTTTTCAGCAGAGAATAATGGCCGAAAGGCGGGACGCGATGATATCAAGGCCAATGCCGAGATTTGTACGTACAGAAGAGTTCCGGTCACTCTACAGTCATGCTGAACATATGCAGCGCAAATGTACAAAGACTACAACAAGCTACGAGTACGACTGTCAAGCAAAGCAGCGCCGCAGACGCCCTCGAAGCGAACCCCAAGCCGAAGAGCGAGCCTCGATGTCGAACGAACACCAAAAGCCGCGCCCAAGCCCACCGTCTCTACACCGTTGAAGAGGAAACGAGAGGACGGTGATGCAATAGAGAACGTAGATCTAGCAGCCGAGCTTCTGTCTCCACAAGGACCTACCGTCATAGGACCTACGCCCCAGCGCGACGGGATAGTTCTAGGTCTCTTCGACATGCTCCCATATGCATATGGCACACCAAGCAAACCGAGGACTGTACTAGGAGATGTGGGGTTAAATGTGCCGCAAACTCCGAGTAGGGGACTTCAAGATGCAGCAAGTGAGACATCACTAGAGTCAAGAGCAAGGGGAGAGCGGACGCCACTGTCGGCGGGGAAGCGGTTTCTTTTGAACCAATTCGTCACACCGAAGAAGAGAAGGTTAGACGAGGAGGGTACACCGTCATCTACGACTCGAGGTCTAGCTACACCTGCATTCCTGAGGAGAGACAATGTGCTGAATGCTATTGACGAGGAGGAGGAGCCAATATCACGACCAGCACCTTGGATGCGACGCGGACTTGGACGTAGCTTGAGTTCCATGATACAAGCGATGAGGAAAGATGAAGACGACAAACTTGATGAAGAAGCGGACATAATGCGCGAACTGGAAATGGAGGAAGAAGGCATCGCCGTCCCCAGGAAACCCAGAGCGTCACAGATACTGATAGAAGATAGCCAAGCTGCTATGCCCTTAGGGCCAGACCGAGGTCTTGAGTCTGACGAAGGCAGTGAGGAAGAACCAGAACTCGGGCCTGATGGAAAGCCACGAAGGGTCTGGAAAAAGAAGGGTTTGAAGAGGCAGACGCGGCGTGTAATAAGTAAGATATTCTGTATTCAACAAACGAGCTACATGACTAACAGTTTTCAGTGCGCCCGAACATTGTAAAGCCCAAGCCAACGCCAGCACCACAGACAAACGACGACCCAGAGGGAGAACAAGCAGGGGTGCCAGAAACTCAAGTACCAGCGGTTCTGGAAGACGAGTTTGGCTCAGACTTGGATGGAGATTCAGACTACGCGAGTGACGCTTCACATACCCCGAGACGAAAAGTGCCCGCAAAGAAGCCAGAACAAGCAAAGGAGAAGCCTGTCAAAGAGAGCGCACTCAAGACGGCGGCCCGCAAGATCAAAGCTACGGCAAACGCAAATTATCGGAGGCTCAATATCAAAGGCAAAGCAGGGACTGGTGCGAAGGGAAAGTTTGGAAGGAGGAGATAAGGGGAAAGGACATGATTTGGGGAACTCAATACTAGGCACCAGTAGCATGTATGTTGGAACTATGGACCGGTCAAAGCATGGGCATGTTGATTTGCTCTGGTACTGTACTCAGGGTAGAAGATTTCCACAGAAGTAATCTCTGCTGTCACACAGCGTAAGGCGTGGCGTGCTGACTACCCAATCGGTCATGGAAGGCAAATTCTGTATACGTTCAAGACGAGACGTCAGCTGCAGTATCGCAAACAAGAGTAGACCAACGCGAAAGCAGACCAGCCGCCAGTAGTGATATTCCCACGCTGAGACAATGTGACCGACTAGGTCATCTGCAGGTATTGGTGCCTGGTCCGCGTGGGATGTCAGGCTTATATCTGGGAAATAATTACAACAGTGCTTTCGCCCTCATGGGTTCTTTCAGCGTGTTTGAGAGCAAGTGAAATAAATGGCATATATTCGTTATAGAACGTTTGAGGGAGGATATGACGCGGCGTGGCGGTTGGGGAGCACGCTAAGCCCAGCACCTCCGACGCCGACGGTCTCCCGACGTATACCACCGAAGCTTCCACTCGCCGCAACAAACACCCCAACCACATCACGAATCCGACCCACTCAATCACCTCGACCAGTCTCTGTATCATCGACTTGCACTACCAAAACCGAACCACCGCACACCATGGCTGAAAGGGAACTCTCCACCGTGCTCCAGCAGCTCCACCAGACGCTCAAGTCGCACAACTACCAGCAGTCGACCTCGTTACTAGGCAAAGCCAAGATCGCCCTCCTCAACCTCAACGCCCTCATCCCACAAGAGAAGACACCACGGAAACATCTGCAGCTCGCACGTGAGACGCTCGAGCTAGGCGCCATCATCTCCATCCGCCTCAAAGACACCGAGTCCTTTACCCGTTACTTCCAGCAGCTCCAGCCCTTCTACTCCCTGCCAGAGTCCACACTACCCAAGGATGGCAGTAATTCCAGCAAGGTCACAGGTCTATATCTGTTACTGCTGTTGAGCGAGGGCGACTACGCGGGCTTCCACACACTGCTAGAGACGCTCGAGGTGGCGGCTGCGCAGGCCGGCGCGAAGCTCGAGGCTGATCAGTTCATTCAGTATCCCATAAAATTGGAGCAAGCGCTTATGGAGGGAAGCTACGACAAGGTGTGGGTCGAGACAAAGAGCGAGAGGGTGCCTGGCGAGGAGTTTGCTCTGTTTACTGAGGTACGTTACTGCCACTATCATGCCGCACATGCTGTCTTTGTATCATGACTTGGATCGTTGCTAACACACTCTCAGATTCTCATCGGCACTATCCGCAAGGAAATCGCGTCCTGCAGTGAGCGCGCATACCCCTCCATTCCCATCTCCGACGCCAAATCACTCCTCTTCCTCGACTCGGAAGGCAGCGTCGTCAACTTTGCCAAGGAATGCGGTTGGGTTGTCAAGGACGGACGGATATACTTCCCTCAGCAGGAGGACGAATACATGAGCAGAGACATCTTGGTTACAAGCGATCAGGTCATTGAGAACACTCTTGGGTATGCGAGAGAGTTGGAGACCATTGTCTAAGAGAGTGGCATAAAAGAGACAAGGCCAGCGAAGTTGTGGTTTTCGTGGAGCAAAGGAGTAGAGCGGTGTACGATAAAAGCATCAAGACACGTGGAGCGTATGGGCTGGAGCGTACTGGCAGCAGACTATGTGCTCGATCATAGCAGCACGAGGAGGAGCAATCTCAATGACGGAACATAGATAATGATCATCATCACCACAAACTATGGACAACAATCCCTCTTCACTACAGCAGACCGGCACAATTTCGTAGGCAGACTGCTCCCTAAAACTTAACTCAAACTCACTGCACATATGGAACAGGGATTGAGTTTCGAGTAAGATGAGAAGGTATTCACAAGTCTTTTCTCCATAGACTAGGTAGGGTGCCATTTTGAGACAACCATGGATGATATTTGAGTATCTGATGACCCTAGCGCCTGGACTGGATGACATCTCCTTTACAAGGCTAACAAGGAGGCGACCAAGTCATGTATTGAACAACCTTTCCCTTAGTTCTGCAAGATAGAAACTCTCCAAAGAAGCAGAGGAGCGATAAACAGGACTCCGACGGCAAGCTCTCCAATTTGCATGCCCATTGCGTAGTTCGGATGCACTCTTTGAATCATGCAATATCAAGTATTGGAGTGTAGGAGAAAACTTCTGGGGGTTTAACGAAGCACCTGTGTATCGATTCTTGTTTTGCGGCCAGGACGCCGCGTGTAGTAGCGCAAGAAAGTTTGGAAGCTGATAAGTGGCTTGGTCGATGAAAGCATTCTCAGACGCACGCGACCTTTCTTGCAAGTTTCGAGGCGAAAGAGATGTTGTCAATGCATTCTTTGTTCCACTGTATTAGAAAAAACATCCCTTTTAGGAGGATTACTTCTTACTTCAAAAGAACATGTTAAGAGCTATGTACATATACATATAAAACTTAGAAATCTACAATACTAATCATCTCTATAACTTTTCTTATTAGGGTATGATATAGGCTGCAAGGTAGGGTTTGTTATTCCTGTATCTGTCTAGGTTTTTTTCTTGTATGAGGTAGTCCGTTATTTTAGACAATATTGAATGGATTGTTAGTGATAGGAAGGGAAGAGGACAGGGCAGAATAGACGTCTTGATACGCAACTGATGTTCTTTCAGAATAGTGTGATGGATCTGTGCTCGTACATCTGTCCGGAAGAACTTCTCAATAGTGGGTGAGGTGCACATTCTCCTTAAGAGAAAATTGGACTGTGTCAACCACTTCTTGGAAGAATCTTTGACAGAGAAACAACTGATTTACTGATCGCCGCTTTAGATCATATTCCTACACCTAGATCATCTTTGGAACAAACGCTTTTAGTTCATGGCTTATGACGAGCGGATTTTGTGGCCCAAGCAATGGAGAAGTGATAATCATTTTCAGTAGCAGCGGAGGGGGTGAGCAGATGTGTACTTCATGTACACTTTTGTAGGATAGCAGAGAAAGGTGTGATGCAGTATTAGAGATAGGCGTGGTAGTGTTTGAATAGACTGCTCAAGAGGCAAGTGTCGAAAAACGTTCTTATCGTATGTGTTGGGTTACGTCCCGTGTTCACAGTTGACACTTTCTCACTTGAATACAACACCCATCCGTCCCTTTGCTTTGTGCGCATTCATCAGTTCGACCATCTTCGGCACCTCCTCAAGCTTAAAGGCGGTCATATGCGGCTTGATGTTATGTTTCGCCGAGAACTCAATCGCCTCCCTCATATTGTAGCATGCTAAAGACTGGTCAGCTCCATTGCCTTGATTGAATAGCGTGCTTGCTTACTCCCGTTGCTCGACCCCTTTATTTGATACCTCCCCAAAGCAATATCCAATCCATTGAATTCAAGCGGCTGCTGCGGAATGCCTACAACCATGATCATACTCTGACCAGGCTTAACAATCGCCGGGCAATCGTCATAAGACTTCTTTGACGCTGTGAAATTGACGGCAGCATGTACACCGCCTCCGGTAAGCTCTACAATCTTCTTCTTGTAGTCTTTGTCCGTCATTGAGTTGAAAGTATAGTCTGCACCACAGGATTTAGCTTCTTCTATCGCAGCGTCTGTGATATCGATGCCGATGACTTTGTGTCCCATGGCTTTGGCGTATTGGATACCCATGTGGCCGAGACCACCACATCCGATTACCGCGAGCCAGGAGCCGGCGGGTAGCTGGCAATCTGCAATACCGTGGTAGGCTGTCACACCTGCGCAGAAAAGAGGTGCTGACGTTTTGGGGTCCACTGGAGCAGTGAAGTTAGCACGCGATTAATGCTCGCTTTCTATCAAGTTTGACTGACGGTTCTCGGGTAATATGATAACCTCCCTAGCATCTACGACTGCGTATTCGGCGAAATATCCGTCCGAACTGAATCCTTGTATCTTTGTCTCCCCTGTCGCACACCATGCGTTATGCACATTCTTGCAGGCGTAGCATTCAAAGCAGCAGTCGACTGCGCAAAGGAAGCCTACGGGGTCGCCCTCCTTGAACTGCTTAGCTACCTCTCCTGAGCCGGTTGATACTACTCTGCCGGTTCCCTCATGGCCAATAGTGACAGGGTTTTTGCCGAGAATAAGGCCTTGGTCATTGGGCTCGAAAAGCATGACATCGGAGTGGCAGAGGGATGCGCAGCCCATCTTTACTAGGACCTCGTGCTCGCGCGGTGTTGGGATGGGCACCTCATTCAGGTGGAGTTTGTTGTCTCGCGCGTCGTACTGTTGCGCACGCATGGTTTTCTCTGGCATTGAGCCCATGGTGATGATGTAACTCAAGGAGAATGTGATGAGAATGCTTTGGGTAAGGTTACGTATGCAGTGTGGACGTAAGAATCAGCTGTTCGTGAAAGTCAAATGGAAAGGATAAAGGGAGGGCGGGCAGCATCGACGGAGAATAAAGCAAGATTAAAAAATTCCGACACGCTGTGCAGTGGAGACATGCTGATATGTCTACCTGGTGCAATGGTCGGGAATGGTCTACCGCTGCATGACAGTGGAGTGAGGGTGACCATTCCCGATAACCAGGGAGAAAATCACCCCGCGGCGCGTAGTCACGACTCCGGAATAGAGCATAGCAGAAGCCGAGTGGCGGAATAAAAATCGTTGATGTATTAGTAGTATTATGTCGCTCGAGCGCAAAAGATGAATCTAGACTGGGTATACAAAGGGTATATGCTGACGAGATCGTAGAGTAAAGCACAGGGCTTTTGTGACAAAAGAAACAATGAAACGGGTATCAAAGATTGCTTGCAGTGTATGCGGCAAGGTGGACTCCAGCCCCGCACCTTCCCTCGTCACCATGGCTCGGCAGGCCGGATCTAGACTCCGTGCAGCCTCCGATCCATGCGTGGACCAGGGTATGCGTCGGCAATGCTTCCTTTCTGTCCTCAATGCAGTTGTCGACGTTTTGTTTCTTTCTTTTTCGTATCAATGGGTATCTTGGGGTAATTGTTTTTTGGTAATCAAACGGGTATCCAGGTCGTCGTCGAGGCGACGTTGCGAATAGGCGCTGCGAGGAATTTGTTACAGCGACAACATGTCTCTGCAAGGCCTCGCATTGGTTCGTTCGCACACATGCGATGGGGCAGTCGATAAAAGTGCAAGTTTAACGCACCCAGGGCAGGAATCGAGCCCAAACAGCCTTCTTCTTCTGCACCGGCGGCCGCTTTCCAAGATTGGCCATGTAGAGGGCGTAGCTCCTCTCCATCTTCTCAAAGGCCTCTGCCTTTGCCTTTTCGCATTCAAGCGGGTCGTGGTCCCAGTCCGGGTTGCTTTCTTGAGTGTGGTCGCCGTGGTAGCGAGGAGAAACTGACGGCCAACCGAAATCTCTGACGAGAAGGTCTGTGGGCGGCAAGGACATTTCCATCTTTTCGTCAATGACTGAAAGGTTGGATACGCTAGAGGAGGAGGATGAGGTGGAGGAAGAGGTGGACAGCGACATGGTGAAATGGATGGTGAGGGGGATGCGCGGATTGCGACGCGTAGGTGATGAGTCGATGACGGCCTTGGGTGCGTGTTGTGCGGGCGAGACAGAAGAGAGGCCGAAAAGGGAGCGAAAGTGGAATTATAGAGAGAGTGTTCAAGAAGGTATTATGGGGGGGTGCTGTGTCATGGCCTGCGGGCGATAGGTTGGGGTGCGTTGTCGAGAGATGGAAGATCAAGAAAGCCTTGAAAGTTGCGCGGCTTGGAATTGCCAGGCCAGTCAATGCGCGTCAGGGGCGGTTGGTAGCCAGCGCCACACATTCCTTCCAGGCGCACGGCAGCCTCCAACTAGCGACATTAGACCTCATTCCGGCTATGGGACAATGCAAGCCATGACGTGCTAGCTGCCGATCGTCCCCGTGCGTTTAGATTAGCGCACTCATCTAGAACATGCATGCACGTTTCATCTGAGCATTTGAATTGCTGCATCTATCGCTATGACCATGGTACCCGTCAACCACTCTACTTTCGTCGCCCGCTCAGCGTCTTGTCCAAGTTGAATGCCGCCGAAATCAGCGCCAGATGGCTAAACGCCTGCGGTGTGTTGCCCAGCTGCTCTCCTGAACGCGCAATCTCCTCTGAGAATATGTGCAGATGGTTTCCGAAACTCAGCATGTTTTCGAAAATAGTAACCGCTTGCAACAGGTATTTCTCATCGTACGCGCCAGCCTGCCATCGTTAGTAACCAAACAAGATTAAGTGGGGGAACGCATGGCGCTTACTCTTGTCAGGGCCTCGACCAGCCAGAATGTGCACATGCTAAAAGCGCCCTCCTGCCCGCCTACGCCATCGTCGCTCAGGGCGTGGTTGTACCTGTACACCAAACCGGTACTCGTCAGACCGCCCTTCTCAGGAGCCTTGAGTATACGGTCGAGAGTCTTCAGGAACCTAGGATCAGTCGGAGAGATGAAGAAGACCAGAGGCGCAATCAGTACAGCCGAGTCTAGGACGTCGCTCGACTCGTAGCTCTGTATGAAGCATTCCAAGTCCGAGTTGTAGCCCTTATCCATGACTTCTTCATACATCTCATCGCGAATCCGGTACCACTCGGCTCGATGCGGACACGGAAAGCTCCTCTTACCTGCTAGGCGCAGTGCTCGATCAAGAGCCACCCACAGCATCATCTTGCTGTATACAAAGTTCTGCTTCTTACCCCGTACTTCCCAGATCGACATGTCTGACTCCTTCCAGACGGTACAAACATAATCCGCAATCTCTCGGACAAGAAGCCATTGATCGTACGAGATTGGACGTCCGAATCTATTCACAAGATAGATTCCGTCCATCAGTTCACCGTAGATGTCCAACTGTACGTGGAAAGCTGCGCCATTGCCAATCCGTACCGGTCGGCTGGCCCTGTACCCTTCCAGATGGGGCAGTTCGAGCTCCGGTATATCTGTGCCGCCCCATATGGTCATCATAATTGGCAAAGCTCCTTGTCGTGCTTTGGCCTCTTTAACGCGCTGGAAGATATAGCTTATATAAGCTTCTGCTTCGTTATTGAATCCCATCCTGAGAAAAGTGTAGATCGTAAAAGACGCATCGCGCACCCACGAGTAGCGATAATCCCAGTTTCGCGATCCACCAAAGTCTTCAGGCAGGGAGAACGTCGGTGCCGCAACAATCGCTCCGCTGGGCTCAAAGGTCAGCATCTTGAGGATCAGCAAGCTCCTGGTAACCACCTCTTCCCAACGACCCATATATTTGCTTTGCTCTATCCACCTAGCCCAGTACTTCTGGGTACTGGTTTGCAATTCTTGGACTTGTTCCGTCTCGATGATGTCTGGACTATGGTCTTCTGCATCACGCAGAATGAAGGACACGGCCTGACCTTCTTCCAAGGTAAAATTAGCCGTGACGCCTACGCCTAAATTCTGCGGCTCTGGTGACTCCTCGAAGACCACCCTTGGACATACACCGTCGGGTGCATCCCCACAATCGAGCGTCGCATTGAGCTCCAGGGATAGATCTTTGGACCTGAAGATGACTCGTTGCAGACCACGTCCCTGAGCGCTCTTACCCATGTCGGCGATCTCGGTAGTGTGCTTGTCTTGTGCATAGTTGAAAGCAGGGAAGACCTCGACGCACACGTCAACTTTGCCCCGCATACATTCTACTCGCCTTACGAGCCACTTCTTCAGATCGGGGCGCTCGGGAACGCTTCCTGTGTGGTTGCTTGCGACAACGTTTGCATGATATTTGGCATCCCAACTCTTGTCGTTTGGTCGAGGGAAGAAGTCCACGACGTTCATGACGCCCTCTTCCTTCAGGTAGCGTGTCTGGAGAACATTGCTCACGGGCAGATACTGTTGCTTGGTTGTGCAGGAATCGTCGCCAGTTGGACCTATTGTAAAGTGGCCGCCCTTTTCTTTGTCCAGGATCCTGCAGAAAACGGATGGTGAGTCGAAGTAAGGCCAGCACATATAATCTTGAGTTGGACGTATGAAGTCAGTATATGTCGATACACGGCTGGTACGCGGAAATCACATACCTATTCCACCGTCTGTCGCAACCATGGCACAAGTCCTCATATTTCCAATCAACCCATAGTCTTCGATCGGCATATATCCATTCGCTGAGCGCCGCGATGTAGAGGTAGAGGTCTGGGGACCCGATGTGACTCTTTCCATCTTTGGATTCTGCATTTCTTCTACCTTATGGCTATGTTGTCTGTATAGCTCGGTGCCGCTATCTCTATCTAACGGTAGAGGCGTGCGGGTGAAGGATGTGTTGATGACATCCTGGAGAAGCCGCGTGCCGGGTGAACCGGAATCCATCTTACCATCGGTAGATTTGGACATGCTCAGTACACTAGGCCGGAATAGCTGGATCGTTGTAGATACCACTGCAAGCGGAAGAGTACAAGCGGGCCGATCAAGTTGTAACGATCATCGTGATGCTGTATATCGGAAATGGCTGAGCCAATGAACGGCGATCGTAATTGTGACGTCACAAGCTTCTATAGTTCGACCTCGCTCCCACCTTCACTCGCGTCAGATGCAGCAGCCATCATGTTGTCGCATTATCACATTTTACACATTATGCTCAGTGTAACTATGGCCTCCAGACATACTAATAGACACGTCTTCTATTTTGGTATTCTTGGACATCAAACTAAGAGCTGCATGAAGTACTATGTCTAGCGTTCCAATAAATTCGTGGACACTCTAATCTCCAATCGGATGATAACAAACTATTACCACGAGTCACAGAATCGAAGCAGAAAGCCTTAAAAATAACGTTTTTGTCTAAGTGGAGATACATACTTCTAGGCACATATACTGTTCAATGTCCCCAATCTCAACAGTAGAGAACAAGTTGCCCACTTTGATGTCGGTATGCTCGCTATATCCTAGGACAAGACCGAACGATTGCATATAACTTAAGCTCGTATAAGGCGTCTGAGATCCCAGCTACGCGCTAACATCTGATAACAAACCGTGGAACTATGAGTTTTTCCACTCGTCCTATCGCAGAAATGAAGCGACACTGACATGAGCTTCTCGCCATAGTCTGACTTGTTCTTTTTTTTTATGCTGTTGAGAATGTAGGTTGTCGCAAGACGTCGATGACGTCACGACGTGTCCTCACATGTGAGAATGCCAGCCGGCGAATAACCCAAAACGTCACATCTGGTAATTACAAACATACGTGTATTACAATAAGAGAAAATGGTTACATAAAGTTTCCAGCTGCTTTCTTTTACACTCCGCCCAAAACCACTTCGACACCAACGCGTCTCTACAGATCTATAGCCCAACATGCAATCAATTCTTCACAAAGTCGTCGGACCCAAAGAGGTCCACCCGGAGAACCTCGACGGGCGAGTCGCAGTGGTTACTGGTGGCGCTCTTGGAATCGGGTACCGCTATATCTTCTCGACTGTTGAACTGCCACTAATTTTCCCCGCAGCTACGAAGTTAGTCGCGCGCTTGCCCTCGCTGGCGTAAAAGTAATTATGGTAAATCGCAAAGAAGAACAAGGCTCCGAAGCAATCTCTAGCATCAAGAAAGAGAAGGCAGATGCCGACGTTGAATGGAAGCATTGTGACATGGGTAGCCTCAAGGAAGTCAAAGAAGTCTTCTCTGGGTTGCGCAATTCACTTGAGCGTCTCGATTTCCTCGTCCTTTCTGCTGGAATCAACACGTTAGTAACACTCGCGTAACGAGATGCATGTAAGACATGAACTGACTTCGTACACGAAAATACAGGAACCAATATGGTGAAGACGCTGATGGTATTGATCGCCACTTTGGCGTGAACTACCTAGGCCACTTTTATGTTTGCAACCAACTATGGCCAGTGCTTCGGAAGACGGGAAAGATGGGGACCAAGCCGGCACCACGAGTCGTTTTCGAGTCAAGTGAGATGCATCGCACAGCGCCATCAGATGTGCACTTCGCAAGCATGGACGAGATTAACGATAGTTCCATGGATCCGACACGGCTGTACGGACGCACTAAGCTAGCCATGATCCTGTTTTCAAAGTTTGGTCTGCGAGACCGCGTTATCAAGCCCAACGGCGACAACGTATACGCTCTCGCCGTGCATCCAGGTGCAGTCAATACAGCTATGCAGCAGCAGTGGAAGGACGCATATCCGGGAATTACCGGCAAGCTACTGTCGAATGCAATGCTTTTTGCTGGTCGGGACGTTGAGCAGGGTTCATACAGTGCGCTTTGGGCATGCACATCGGACGAGATTGAGGAGAAGGACATGAATGGATTCTATTTCAGCGACCCCGTAAGATACATCTTTGGTTTTGATGCTTGTTGTCTACTGAACTTATCGACTGACGTATGATTACAGGGCCAACCAGGCAAAGAGACCTCTCAAGCCAGTGACGAGAATCTCGGTGCTGCACTGTGGGATCTGAGTGAGCGGATCATCAAAGATAAACTGGGTCAAGAAGCGCTTGTAGACTGGGCTAAGAAGGAGTAGAACTGTGAGGCTAGCATGACAAGCGCAGGTTCAACTACGTTCATCTCAGCATGTAATGAGTAATGATTAATATAACTACTACAATGTTCAATACCCTATCGAAGCCTGCAATAGTCTGATAATGTTGTTCATGTCACATGAGCTCCGGTTTCAAAACCTAAGAGACATGAGGCCAGTTGCTCCTTTGGAAACATTGCGACTTTCCCTCAAAAGGGTCTGGCCGATCCGTCCGCCCATTGGCTAACAATACCACCACATCGCATAGCTCTTTATATAATACGGGTTCCTGAATTTCCGCATCTTCAAGCAAGATAGGGCTATCATAAACGATCGTCACTATGACCTTCCGCAAATCCTTCGCACTCTCAGAAAGATTTTCATAAACGAACAAGATTGCATCAATCATCTCTGGATGACTATGGTAATATTCGGCTGCCTCCTTGAATCTCCGGGTGCAGAGAGCTTGAAGATCAGGCACCAAATACTTGTCGGCTACTTCCCAGAGCTGAAGGTGTAGCAACATGTGGCGAGGTGTTGGTGTATGGTAGAGCGCGAAGCCTGAGCCCTTTGGTATGCTTGCAGCGACGCGTTGTCGTTTGTGGGACACCTTGTCTGGCTGGATGTCGTCAAGAGTCGAAAGTGCCCGCTTGTTTGAGTTGCTTGGAGGTGCAACGCCAGAGTTCGGCGATGAGTGTGTAGAGAGCGATCGATACGCCACCACCACTGAGAGGGCCATATCTGTCTGTACTTCCGCGACATATGTATGGATTGATACCGCACGTTCTGATCCAGACCAAAGATTCTGACTCCGTGTCGGGTTTCTAGGTAGTGGGATGGTAATCAGCATTTTGAAGGAACTCAACCAGCATGTCGACCATTGCGGGAGCATCATCATGAAGTGTTATCACACCTTCAGAAGCCTCTATCCCAAACTGCGATGCGCTTCTAAAATACTCCGAGGCAGAAAAGATGATATCAAGGTATACCATGTAGCTATTGGCGCCGGACTTGATCGTGAAATTAGGCGTCATGCTCCCGGGGGTGCAATCAAAAGGCGTGAGAGTTGAGGTCTCGGTCTGTCGAGTTGAGAGAAGGAAGGCAACGGAAACCACTCATTGGTAGAGAGGTTTTACTCTGTTCTTTCTGAAGTACTTTCACGTGCAACAAAGCCCTGAAAAACAGGTAGAACTCTCACTTTGCCCCGTGCAAACACTGTGATAGTCTTGTTTCCTGTCTTCCGCATGTAATTTTGTTCGTTCGAACAGGCGGTTATTATATTAGGCGATAGGATGTGGTTACGGCACATCATAAACTGAAAGCCTAGGGTGACATCGTGGTAAACCAGCAAGTCCGTAATCGTGCTGTTTAATGGTTACTTGAAGCATGATCGAATCGGCTAGTGACACGAGCATCTTTTCGAGAACGATGTGATCTTGTGTAGACATCGCAGAATCAATGTAGTCCTGACTTCGATTCACGGCTGTGCTTTGAATCGTGATTCTTGGAGAGCAAGCAGACCTCACTTCGAGCGCCTTCTTCTGAAGCCCCAACTGGATTTTCTTGTCTTCTCCCGTGGAGGGTCTTTCTCCCGCATCTTTCTGAAAGCAATGATACCTTTTATCTCCTTCAACTGGTCCATGTTTCGATCTAGTATCGCCGTCTCATCCACCCCTTTGTCGAGTAGAAGGGTAACGAAGTCGACTTGTTTGTTCGCGAGAGCGTGATCGAGTACAGAAGCGGGTTCGGTATCTTTAGCGTGGATGTCCCCACCAAAGGCGAGTAGAATGTGGGCAAGCTCGACATTGCCGCGCATGGCTGCGAGATGAAGGGGGGCGCGTTGGTGGTCCCCCAGGATGTTGACAAGTGCACTCGGCTGTGGATGCTTCTCCAGCATTGTATTGACCTCTTCAATCAGAGCAGAACCATCCTCGCATCGCAATACTGTTTTGTGGAAATCTCTCCAATCTTCGCTTGGGTCTAAGGTGACGGGTGTTTGTGCTGAGAGTATGCTTTCATCATCGGCGTCCGATTGAGCTAGAATATCTTTCGAAGATAAGGAAGAGACGGAGGGACGCGATGAAGAAGTCGTGGTCGAGTCTCTACGGATCTGTACTGGCTCTAAGATGGTTTCCGCGTTCGAGAGCCACCTGCCGAGCACGGTGGAATCGTCTTCAACGGTTTGATCGTGAATCCTGTCTCGTGGAATGGGTGGCTGGTTGTGGTTGTCAGCGAGAGCTTTTCCATAAAACCAGTTATCATTCAACTTACTGCTGCCGTAGATTCTGAAGCGCGGCGCATATAGGAGGTAAACTCACTAAAATAGTATATTAGCAGTGTTAAAATCGAAGGTAGATTTGTACTAACAGTTGCGAACAGACTCCAGTGACTAGAACGATGTCCATCAGGCATTGTCGTATCTCATCGACCGCAACCTCGATATCTTTGGCCACCGTATTCATCTTGCGTTCCAAGTAGACTTTGTCGACAAAGCTCTCCGTACTCCGAGCTTTCAACTCTAGTATCCTGGGCTTGATCTCTCGAAATTTGTTGCGACATTGCGTGATCTTTCCACGTACAATAAGCGACTGCTCGCTATCGCTGTCATGCTCGGCTTCCTGGTATTTTGAATTGAGGAAGCTGACCATTCTATGCAGGTCCGTTACTTTGCGGGAAAGCCGGTCGACTAGTTCGTCTACCTCCCGCACAGCGTCAATATAGGTCTTGCATCCTCTGACGACGGCAACTCCGAGCAGTGCGATGGTAATTATGCTTGAGACCGGCTCGGCCATCGTCGCTTCAGGTTCGTAAGTGCTATTGAGGTCTACTTTGAAGCGGATCGTCAAAAAAGCTTAGAGCAGGGCTATGGGGTTTCACAGGGATATTGCTAGATGTGCGTGCAGAAGTGCAACAAACGTTACATGTGTAGTATTGGCTTTACTTGAAGAATGCATATCGTAAGGAGGCTCAAGGATGGAGGAGAGGCTGAGCAGAACGCGTGGAGTCTGGCCGTGACCAGCAACGAACGGAGGGACGGGTAATGTGAGAAGCACACGTGTAAGAGGAGTTGACGTAAGTGTCAGGTATGAAATGGTCGGACGGGTCTATGCCGGATAAGGGTTGGGTTTGACGCGCCAAGAGCAAAGGGCGATCTCAGGCGTGCCTGGGGTAAGCGGGGAAGCTCGACAGTGCACTATTGCAGATTAAGCAGGCAGCCGCTTACGTGCCGTCTACCAGCTTACCCGCGACGGCAGGTATCGCCTGGTCCAGCGAGGATACGTAATGTCTCGGATCTCATGATCTGGGGATTCATCTCAGAGTCGCGCGAACCTGCGTTCACCTAGTTAGCTAGAGATGCAATGGGTATAACAGACGCTCTCGCAGTCGCGCATCCCTGTTAGGTAAACCACAAGGCAGTCTGCTGGAAAGAAGGCTGAAGGAAGAACAAGGTGTCACCAATAAAACTAAAGCCATAGTGTGATGCAATAGCTGACCTTCGTGCCGAATGCGGGTTGGTAGCGTCTGTTGATTGGTCATCGTCTTCTAGGCCTGCGCCGCCTAGGAAGGGGCAAGAGTGCACACCAAAAGTAAATGCAAGGCAACCAATCCGTGGAGAGTAAAGGGATCACAAGAACTCATACCTACTGCTCAGCCTCCCTTTGGAAATTGGATGTAGGCAGAATGACGGTGAAGGACCTCGACAATACATGTCGTATGGATGATCGGGCTCCATAGTTGGAAGCACCGGTCAGCCTTGTTGGTGTCAGCCTATTGCGGAAAATGGACATATATTGTTGAATCCGGCATGTCGTCGCACACCAAATTAGGCTTGTAGCAGCATACTCCGGTAGAGAGTCTATGCCCACCATGAGAGCAGTATATTGTGCAAATACAGTTGGTAATCGAAGACTGGCGACAAATCGAGTACGCTCAACAGGCGCAAGACAGACGTATGTGCATGAATCAGCATATTTTGAGTGTGGCTGACAGTCTGTAGCATAGATAATCCGTTCTTGACATTCGATGATACAAAAGCCGATCTCAATACCGGAAGAACCGAGTTAGAAGAATACGTTTGGCAATTTGCGGCGTTAGCAGATCTCAAAGATCGGTACGAGTTGCTTCGATTCGGCGCTCGACTCGCTCGAGACAAGTTTGAGACTATCAGCAGATATGCGGACGAGCTCACAGGGCGGGAGAAGAAGCTTCTAGAGCAAGAGAAGGACAAGAGTACAGGATTTTGGAAGCAGTCCAAATTCTTGCGCGCGACGATCATGACGGCAAGTCTGGCAGGAATGATTCAGGGCTGGACGCAAAGCGTGAACAATGGCACTGCCTATGGCATGCCAGACGAGTTTAAGCTATGTGTTCGCAGAAACCATGGATGTCCTTCATCTGACCTCTGGACTTTTGGAATGCTGAATGCCGTACCCTTGCTTTCCGCGGGCCTCTTTGGCACACTTCTCGCAGATCCATTGCAAGAGAACTTCTTGGGGAGGCGAGGTAGTGTGATGCTCTCCTGTGCTATCACAATAGCCTCAACAATCGGTGCGTCGGTTACGCATAATGTAGGTCAGCTCGCAGCCTGTCGGGCTATCAATGGAATAGCTTTGGGCGCAAAAGCATCGATAGGTAAAAGAGAAGCATTGGCTTTGTTTGCGCCAAAGATACTGATGCTACGTAGTTCCTATATATGCGGCTGAAATATCGCCGGAACATATTCGGGGCGCAATTCTGGCGAACTGGCAATTGGCGGATGCAGCAGGTAGGTTCCCCTCTCAGGTACTCGAGCGGCATAGGATACTGATCCATTAGGCATCTTTCTCGGGTTTCTTGCGAATTTGTTGGTCGTGGTTTACGTCAAAGATTCCGCATCCGCATGGCGCATCCTCACAAATACGGTGCTTATCCCCACGATCCCGTTGTTGGTCATGATCTACTTGATGCCGGAATCCCCTCGGTACTTGATGAAGCATGGAAATTACCGCAAAGCACTGGAGGCGTTTGAGCAGGTTCAAACCACGCAGTTGTTGGCAAGTCGCGATTTCATGTATGCGCATGCACAACTGGATTTCGAAAGCCGACTGTTGAAGGGGGAAGTCAATCAACTTGGTAACCTGGCCGAACGTGTAGACATCAGCACGTCAAGCTTCGCCAGTGAGCCATCCTTAATAACACCAGATCGCGTGCAGCTCGAAACGGTCGTTTCGCAAGCGCCCATACCGCCAGGTGGACTTATCCAAGGTTCCAATACGGAAGCAACGAATGGAGGAACAACAATAGAGCCAGGTAATAGCCAGCATCAACACAGATCGCATACTGAGCAAAACGAAAATACCAACATCGAGCTTGCAGTTCTGAACAGAAGATGGAGCGATGTTACAAGCCTAAACCTCGATACTGAAGTCAAACGAGCGAAGAAGAAGAGTAATCCCTACTCGTATAACATTGGTGTCAACGGTTATTACAAGCGTTTGAGAGAGCTGTGGTCCAACAAACGGTGTCGACGGGCACTGTTAAGCGCTT